GGGTGTGTAAAACTGGTCTGTCTACTGTCTACGTAGTACCTGGGTGTCGTGTAACTGGTCTGTCTACCGTCTACTCGTCATGTAGTACCTGTCTACTGTCTCGGTGTCGTGTAACTGGTCTGTCTACTGTCTACGTAGTACCTGGGTGTCGTGTAACTGGTCTGTCTCTACTGTCCACTTAGTACCTGGGTGTCGTGTAACTGGTCTGTCTACTGTGTCGTTAGTACCTGGGTGTCGTGTAACTGGTCTGTCTACTGTCTCGTGGTACCGAGGTGTCATTGAAATGGTCTGTCTACTGTAAATGGTCTGTCTACTGTCTCACGTAGTACCTAGACTGTCTGTGTAGAAATGGTCTGTCTGGCTGTCGTGTAGTAACTGGTCTGTCTCCTGGTCTCCACCTAGTACCTGGGTGTCGTGTAACTGGTCTGTCTACTGTCTACGTGAGTACCTGCGTCACTGTAACTGGTCTGTCTACTGTCTGTCGTGGTACCTGGGTGTCGTGTGTAACTGGTCTGTCTACTGTCTGTCTAGGGGTAGATGTAAATGGTCTGTCTACTGTCTACGTGAGTACCTGGGTGTCGGTGTAACTGGTCTGTCTACTGTCTACGTAGTACCTGGGTGTCGTGTAACTGGTCTGTCTACTGTCTACGTAGTACCTGGGTGTCGTGTAACTGGTCTGTCTCCTGTCTACGTAGTACCTGGGTGTAGTGTAACTGGTCTGTCTACTGTCTACGTAGTACCTGGGTGTCATGTAACTGGTCTGTCTACTGTCTACGTGAGTACCTGGGGTGTCGTGTAACTGGTCTGTCTACTGTCTGTCCAGGGTAGGTAACTGGTCTGTCTACTGTCTACGTAGTACCGGGTGTCGTGTAAATGGTCTGTCTACTGTCTACGTAGTACCTGGGTGTCGTGTAACTGGTCTGTCTACTGTCTACGTAGTACCTGGGTGTAGTGTAACTGGTCTGTCTACTGTCTACGTAGTACCTGGGTGTCGTGTAACTGGTCTGTCTACTGTCTACGTAGTACCTGGGTGTCATGTAACTGGTCTGTCTACTGTCTACGTAGTACCGGGGTGTCATGTAACTGGTCTGTCTGGTCTGTCTACCTGAGTACTGTCCTGGGGTGTCTAGAGAGTAACTGGTCTGTCTACTGTCTACGAGTACCTGGGTGTCATGTAACTTTTCTGTCTAGAGAGTACCTGGGTGTAGTACTGGGTGTCTATGTAACTGGTCTGTCTACTGTCTGTCTATGAGTACCTGGGTGTCATGTAAAAGAGGTACCTGGGTGTAGTGTATTGGTCTGTCTAGGTAGTACCTGGGTGTAGTCCTACTGGTCTGTCTAGAGAGTACCTGGGTGTGTCCTACTGGTCTGTCTAGTGAGTACCTGGGTGGTGTCCAGTCCTACTAGTCCTACTGGTCTGTCTAGAGAGTACCTGGGTGTAGTCCTACTGGTCTGTCTAGTGAGTACCTGGGTGTAGTCCTACTGGTCTGTCTAGAGAGTACCTGGGTGTAGTCCTACTGGTCTGTCTAGAGAGTACCTGGGTGTAGTCCTACTGGTCTGTCTAGTGAGTACCTGGGTGTAGTCCTACTGGTCTGTCTAGAGAGTACCTGGGTGTAGTCCTACTGGTCTGTCTAGTGAGTACCTGGGTGTAGTCCTACTGAGAGTACCTGGGTCTAGTCCTACTGGTCTGTCTAGAGTACCTGGGTGTAGTCCTACTGGTCTGTCTAGAGAGTACCTGGGTGTAGTCCTACTGGTCTGTCTGGTGAGTACCTGGGTGTGGGACCTACTGAGAGTGCTGTCTAGGTCTGAGTACCTGGGTGAAGTCCTACTACTGGTCTGTCTAGAGTCTAGTACCCTGGGTGAGAGTCCTACTGGTCTGTCTAGTGAGTACCTGGGTGAAGTCCCTACTGGTCTGTCTGGGTACCTGGGTGAAGTCCTACTGGTCTGTCTAGGTGAGTACCTGGGTGTAGTCCTACTACTGGTCTGTCTGTCTAGTGAGTACCTGGGTGTAGTCCTACTGGTCTGTCTAGGTGAGTACCTACTGGGTGTAGTCCTACTGGTCTGTCTAGAGAGTACCTGGGTGTAAGTCCTACTGGTCTGTCTAGAGAGTACCTTGGGTGTAGTCCTACTGGTCTGTCTAGTGAGTACCTGGGTGTAGTCCTACTGGTCTGTCTGCCTGGAGTCTACTGGTGGGTGAAGTCCTGGTCTGTCTAGAGTCTGTCCAGGTGTAGAAGTCCTACTGGTCTGTCTAGAGTGAGTACCTGGGTGTAGTCCTGGTCTGTCTAGGTCTGTCTAGTCTGTGTGTACCTGGGTGTAGTCCTACTGGTCTGTCTAGAGAGTACCTGGGTGTAGTCCTACTGGTCTGTCTAGTGAGGGTACCTGGGTCTGTCTAGTAGAGTACCTGGGTGTGAAGTCCTACTGGTCTCTAGTCCTAGGTGTAGTCCTACCTAGTGGTGGGTGTAGTCCTACTGGTCTGTCTAGAGAGTACCTGGGTGTAGTCCCTACTGGTCCTACTGGTCTGTCTAGTGAGTACCTGGGTGTAGTCCTACTGGTCTGTCTAGTGAGTACCTGGGTGTAGTCCTACTGGTCTGTCTAGAGAGTACCTGGGTGTAGTCCTACTGGTCTGTCTAGAGAGTACCTGGGTGTAGTCCTACTGGTCTGTCTAGTGAGTACCTGGGTGTAGTCCTACTGGTCTGTCTAGTGAGTACCTGGGTGTAGTCCTACTGGTCTGTCTAGAGAGTACCTGGGTATAGTCCTACTGGTCTGTCTAGAGAGTACCTGGGTATATTACTCAGTAAAGACCCTGCTGATGAGGGATGTAACTGCCACACAAGGAGCACAGCAAGTCCATTCCAAACTCACATAGTAATGATGACAGAGATTAGCTTTCAACAGCGATGATGTCGGCACTTGTATAGAGCTAAGTGTGGCTACAAGCAGGTGGGTGGGTGAATGTGTGAGATGGTTTTACCATACAATTGAACAATCATCTAACAGCTGTCAGTTTATTGTGGGACGGCAGCCCATGGGAGCACTGTGAGGAAATCTACAAGCCCTATAGTGCCCACAAACCAAGCACCATAATCGGGGTGAATCAGGTATAGGAGTTTCAGTAATGAAGTGATATGAAGGAGGCTTGACTGGGTGTGATAAGTTGGAATGCAGTGAAACTGATCACCAGGTGGACTGTGTGAAGGTGGGTGTGGCCAGTAGTGTTCTTCACTATGCTTGCTGCAGTCAGCAATATCCCAAAGCCTCATGGTGTAACAGCCCAGTACAACAGCCCAGTACACTGGGGTTGATACAGTGAGCAACACAAAGACAGGGATGTGTCATGACAACAGGTTGGACATCACCACCCAAACCGAGTACAAGCAAGGCTATATGGGCAACCTGTGTCATATGTTTAGGAAGACAAGTAGCAGCGTAAATGTATCAGGGACACAGGCAGGTATCACAGGGAGACAAGTGCTGTGTGGTGGTAATCAAAGGGAGACAAGTGCTGTGTGGTGGTAATCCAGGGAAGATTGTAAGGAAAGTGACATTCATCACACAAGTCACAACAGGAGTTCCGAGTGAAGTAAGACAAGCTATACATTAGAATAGGAAGCATTGCAAATAACACACATTTATACATAACTCATTACTCAGTAATATATTCATAATATATTTATAATATAGAACAAACTTTATGGATAACAACTTCTTTTTATTCGTGAGTGCAACGTTTCGATACAGATTCTTGTACCGTTATGACAAGTTTGTCGCACTCACGAATAAAAAGAAGTTGTTAGCCATCAAGTTTGTAATATATTGTACTTCCCAACTTCTAAAATGCCACTCAAAGAAGTTATATTTCTTTGTTGTTGTCTAACCAACAAGTTCCTCTGCTCTCCTACTTTGATCTTACAACATGAGTGAAACCACAGGAGTGATATGAGCATCTATGACAAACACACACCAACACAAAGAGTTATGTGAAGACTAACATGGACAACACATCTGGCACAGGGACTGTAACAAATCATGCACCATGCACAACTCGGAAATACACAATAGCATCACAACTAGAATGTCACAATGTGATGGAAATGCATCTACAGTTAGTCTGGAATGACGACACCATCACTGTTTGCAATCAACAGATTCCTACATGTGCAGGGACAGTGAAACAGCCATCCACACCCTGGCTATCCTGTCTACATATGCCACACCCTGTCTACACATGCCACCCACTGGCTATCCTGTCTACACATGCCACCCCCTGTCTACACATGCCACACCCTGGCCATGCATACCACACCCTGGCTATCCTGTCTACACCCCGCCTATCCTGGCTACACATGCCACACCCCTGGCTACACATGCCACCCTGGCTACACATGCCACATACCACACCTGTCTACACATGCCACACCCTGGCTATCCTGGCTACACATACCACACCCTGCCTATCCTGTCTACACATGCCACACCTTGGCTATCCTGTCTACACATGCCACACCCTGGCCATGCATACCACACCCTGGCTATCCTGTCTACACACGTCAGACCCTGGCTACACATGCCACACCCTGGCTATCCTGGCTACACATGCCACCCCCTGGCTACATGTCACACCCTGGCTATCCTGGCAACACATGCCACACCCTGGCTATCCTGGCCACACATGCCACACCCTGGCTACACGTACATGCTACCCCTGGCTATCCTGGCAACACATGCCACACCCTGGCTATCCTGGCCACACATACATGTCACCCCAACACATGCCACACCCTGTCTACATGTCACCCCTGGCTACATGTCACACCCTGGCTATCCTGGCTATCCTATCCATGGCACACACATGCCACACCCTGGCTATCCTGGCTATCCTGGCAACACATGCCACACCCTGGCTATCCTGGCAACACCCACACCCTGGCTATCCTGGCCACACATGCTACCCTGTGGCTATCCTGCACATGGGTCTGTCTGTCATCTCTGTCAACCATTACCTTGTGCCCCATCATCTGAAGCAGGGCTCGTTGCTGTTGTCCGTCTGCGCTGTTTCCTACGCCTTCTCCGTCTCCGCTCTAAGTCACTGTCGGCACTCCCCTGCTTGTTAACTATACCTTTGGTGACGCCATTCTTGGGGCTTCGAGTCAGACTCTTTCGGCGCCCGAAGGTTGACCTCCTCCGTCGAGGTACCTCACTGAAAATAGAGGTTTAGTAATCATAATCCTACAGTTTCCTAGTGGTATTATACAGGCTTGGGCAATCTTCTTTGCAGGTCTTCATATTTGTAATGGTTTTATTTTCAGTTTTAGTTTGCCGGCTGCTCTTTTGCAGGTTCAATATGAGAAACACATAAACAAATGCAGATAGAGTTACTTTGGCAACATGTCCAATCAACTCGCATCAGGGTTTGTCAGTTTAACAGACTGGAAAGCCACAGCTTTCATTATAACTGGGGCTTTCTGGGATGCAAATGTTTGACCATTCTGATGAGGATGAACTCACCCCTGTGTGTCTGCTCCGTCTCGGACTGTGACAGCACCCTGCAGTAAGGGAACTGCATCTTTAGTGACAGTGGCAGAGTTGCCGTCAGCCGGTTGAGATACGTCCTCGGGTCCCTTGGGACACACATTACCCCTGCCTCCTCCCAGCCTCATGGTGCTGTCAACCTCTGCTGGCTCAGTTATCTCCCCTGGTGCCTTCTGCAGCCCCGGCTTGGTCCCTGCCTTGTTGGAGCGGAGGTTGCCCTGGGCCAGGAACTTAGAGTGTATGTCTATTCCCTGGGATGTCATGAGGTTGAGTTGAGATCGGTTTGTGGGGAGAGGGATCCGACTGGGAGATGCACCCTTCTTTGCTAGAGCCATCTGAAAGTACAATGTCCTGGTCACAGCACAGCAGAAGTCAGCCAAGTGCCACTGTACGTCAATACTAACAGGCCTCAAGTTTATCATGCAGCTAATTTTTTTGATGTAACAAAGTATTTTTTTTGTTTTGCCGGAAAAGTGTTTTCTATCAGAGTAAATGGAAAAAGAAGTCATAAAACTGTATTCTTTGTTAAAGATACCACTGACAAAGTAAATTGGCATCCTAATTTGTCTATAACATACTGTCAAGACAACATTTGACAAGAACTAGATCATGTGTACTGGTATCACTCCCTGAATGCGAGATTGGTTGAGATTGGTTCCGTCACACCAAAGACACTGTTGATGGAGACCTATCTGTTTGTCTCACCAGGCCGCTGTTCTTGAGCTGCTGGTACTTGTCTTCCTCCCTCATCCTCAGTGAACAGTCAGCTGACTGCTGCCGCCTCTCTTCTGACCCTGACCCTGACCCTGACCCCATCCCCAAGGCCACCTTGGTTGATGCTGGAACTGAGGAAGCGGACGTTGGCTTGGCGGGTGAGCTACAGGATGGCAGAGTAACTCGTCGTCGAGTCTGATTACCAATGGTGCCTCGGGTTGCTGGAACAAAAGATAAAGAAACATGTTCTGAAAGTGCACCACTGTGAATGTTCCATCATATCACTGTCACACAACAGCAGAGTCAGTTGCACAACAGCAGAGCCAGTCACACAACAGCAGAGCCAGTCACACAACAGCAGTGCTAATCACACAACAGAGCTGGTCACACAACAACACAGCAAGTCACACAACAGCAGAGCCAGTCACACAACAGCAGTGCTAGTCACACAACAGAGCTGGTCACAAAACAACACAGCAGAGTCACACAACAGCAGAGCCAGTCACACAAAAGCAGTGCTAGTCACACAACAGCAGAGCAAGTCACACAACAGCAAAGCCAGTCACACAACAGTGCTAGCCACACCACAGCAGATCCAGTCTCACAACAGCACAGCAAGTCACACAACAGCGTAGCCAGTCACACAACAATAGTGCTAGTCACACAACAAGAGCAAGTCAGCACAACAGCAAAGCCAGTCACACAACAGCACACAGCAGAGTCACACAACAGCAGAGCCAGTCACACAACAACAGTGCCAGTCACACACACAGCAGAGCACAGTCACAACAGCAGAGCAAGTCACACAACAGCAGAGCCAGTCACACAACAACAGTGCTAGTCACACAACAGCGTAGCCAGTCACACAACAATAGTGCTAGTCACACAACAACAGTCGGTCACACAACAGCAGAGCAAGTCACACAACAGTGTAGCCAGTCACACAACAACAGTGCTAGTCACACAACAACAGAGCCAGTCACACAACAGCAGAGCCAGTCACACAACAAGAGGGCCTGTCACACAACTGCAGAGCAAGTCAGACAACAGCAGAGCCAGTCACACAACAACAGGGCCAGTCACACAACAGCAGAGCAAGTCACACAACTGCAGAGCAAGTCAGACAACAGCAGAGCCAGTCACACAACAACAGTGCAAGTCACACAACAGCAGAGCAAGTCACACAACAACAGGGCTAGTCACACAACAGAGCAAGTCACACAACAACAGGGCCTAGTCACACAACAACAGTGCAGAGCAAGTCAGACAACAGCAGAGCCAGTCACACAACAACAGAGCAAGTCACACAACAGCAGAGCAAGTCACACAACAACAGCAGCCAGTCACACAACAGCAGAGCCAGTCACACAACAACAGAGCCAGTCACACAACAGCAGAGCCAGTCACACAACAGCAGAGCCAGTCACACAACAGCATAGCCAGTCACACAACAGCGTAGCGGCAGTCACACAACAGCAGAGCCAGTCACACAACAACAGAGCAAGTCACACAACAGCAGAGCCAGTCACACAACAGCAGAGCCAGTCACACAACAGCAGAGCCAGTCACACAACAACAGAGCCAGTCACACAACAACAGAGCCTGTCACACAACGGCAGAGCCTGTCACACAACAACAGAGCCATAGTCACACAACAGCAGAGCAGTCACTGTCAATCACACAACAGAGAGCAAGTCACACAACAGCAGAGCCTGTCACACAGCGGCAGAGCCTGTCACACAACAACAGAGCCAGTCACACAACAGATCAGCCAATCACTGATGTTATCAGAGCCTCGTCACAAAGAGCACCAGTAATTTCATGGAGGACAACAGCAGTTGAAACCTGCAGTCACACAACAACAGAAGCAAGTCACACAACAACAGTAGCAAGTCACACAAAACTGAGCATGCTGATGTTGAAACCAGTCCACTTGATGTGAGATGTGATGCAGGTCTGAAGCTGACATTAACCTATTTGTTGACACCCTTGAAGCTGGTCACACAATAACAGAGCAAGTCACACAACAGCACTACCAGTCCACTTGATGTGAGATGTGATGCAGGTCTGAAGCTGACATTAACCTATTTGTTGACACCCAGAAGCTGGTCACACAATAACAGAGCAAGTCACACAACAGCACTACCAGTGCCTGACATGTGATGTGATGCAGGTCTGTAGCTGACATTAACCTATTTGTTGACACCCAGAAGCTGGTCACACAACAACAGAGCAAGTCACACAATAACAGAGCCAGTCACACAACAGCACTACCAGTCCACTTGATGTGAGATGTGATGCAGGTCTGAAGCTGACATTAACCTACTTGTTGACACCCAGGACACAAGCACGATGCTGACAAACCAGGAGACATTATCATGGTGATGCCTAATGGATGCAACTCTACACAATGAGAGGCAGAACAACCTCAATGAGTGGGTCACCGATGCTACAAGCAGCGGGGGATTAGTTGGCTGAGTGTCTCCATGCTGGGCCTACCTTCTCTGACCGGTGCCAGCTCCCTCTTGCTGCCTGGCCCCAGAGTGGGTTGTCTGACGTACCCGCCGCGCACTGTACGGGAGGTGCTGGCTGTGTTGGTGTCACTGATGGTGGAGCGGGAGAAGACACCGCGATTGTTGTGATGGACGTTAGACTCACTTAGGTTCCCACGAGCCTGGCGATTGTTGTTCAAGTTGTTCCCAGTCAAACTGCAAACAGTCACACAATTTATTACAAACTGAACAAAGAGTGAAAGTACTTGGCCTCCACAAAATTCCATAAAAACACCACGAGGAGCATTGTCAGTACAGTTGGCTGAGGTCAGTTGTAATATATATTGGCTGATATCTGGTTTGTTGAAAAAACACAGTCAAAAGTTCAGACTCATTTTATAGTGCAGTATTGTTTTGAAAACATGAATATATTTTATCTGAATATACTATCTGTTCAGTTCATCACTGTGATATGATTACATGCACTAATCATAAATTCTCCTGAATGACAGTCATGTCATTGCAACCAAGGGTTAATGCTGCTGTACCTGTTCCTGCCATAGCTCCTGATAACGGGGTTGCGTGGAACACGCGGCCCACCTCGTAGTCCACGCAGATAACGGCGGACAGCATCACGCACACCATGCAGACTGGTATGCTCCGACAAGGTGAGTCTGGTCCAGGGGTTGGTCTCTGTCATGTCTAACGCTGCTGTAGCTACAGCTCGGCCAACCTGCAACACAAGGCCAACAGTGTACTACTGATCCCAAACTGGAATCAGTAAAGGCGGTAGTTATCTGGCTTATTTCACTAGTCAGAAATAACAAACTGGTACAGATTTGCCATCTACCTAATGGCAAAAGTGGTAGTCACTTAGTAAATAACTCCAGCCCAGAATTTTTTAATTGGCTCAAATGAGTTCAAAGCTCATAATGTTGTTTATATACAGTATTGTCTGATGGGGTCCATGCACTATAAACATCTGAGATATTAACCTCAGTATAACCACCAGCCACCATTATCTTAGACTGACTGACTGAGTTTGGTTTTACGCTGCTTTTAGCAATATTCCAGCAACATCACGGCAGGGGACACCAGAAATGGGCTTCACACATTGTACCCATGTGGGGATTCGAACCCGGGTCTTCGGCGTAACGAGCCAACGCTTTAACCACTAGGCAACCCAACCGCCCCCATTTTCTTAGAAGGTAGGTATCAATACCTTGGCTTAACTACCACTGTACCAGGCTCCACTACCTCACCAGTTAGTTATCAATAACTTGGCCCTCCCTCACCAGTTAGGTACCAGTTAGTTATCAACCAGTTAGGGTATCAATACCTTGGTCAAACTACCAGGCTCCACTACCTCACCAGTTAGGTATCAATACCTTGGTCTAACTACCAGTCTCCACTACCTCACCAGTTAGGTATCAATACCTTGGTCTAACTACCAGTCTCCACTACCTCACCAGTTAGGTATCAATACCTTGGTCTAACTACCAGTCTCCACTACCTCACCAGTTAGGTATCAATACCTTGGTCTAACTACCAGTCTCCACTACCTCACCAGTTAGGTATCAATACCTTAGTCTAACTACCAGTCTCCACTACCTCACCAGTTAGTTATCAATAACTTGGCCCTCCCTCACCAGTTAGGTATCAGTACCTTAGTCTAACTACCAGGCTCCACTACCTCACCAGTTAGGTATCAATACCTTGGTCTAACTACCAGTCTCCACTACCTCACCAGTTAGGTATCAATACCTTGGTCTAACTACCAGGCTCCACTACCTCACCAGTTAGGTATCAATACCTTGGTCTAACTACCAGTCTCCACTACCTCACCAGTTAGGTATCAATACCTTAGTCTAACTACCAGGCTCCACTACCTCACCAGTTAGGTATCAATACCTTGGTCAAACTATCAGGCTCCACTACCTCACCAGTTAGGTATCAATACCTTGGTCTAACTACCAGGCTCCACTACCTCACCAGTTAGGTATCAATACCTTGGTCTAACTACCAGTCTCCACTACCTCACCAGTTAGGTATCAATACCTTGGTCTAACTACCAGGCTCCACTACCTCACCAGTTAGGTATCAGTACCTTAGTCTAACTACCAGTCTCCACTACCTCACCAGTTAGGTATCAATGCCTTGGTCTAACTACCAGTCTCCACTACCTCACCAGTTAGGTATCAATCCTTGGCCCTCCTCACCAGTTGGGTATCAGTACCTTAGTCTAACTACCAGGCTCCACTACCTCACCAGTTAGGTATCAATACCTTGGTCTAACTACCAGGCTCCACTACCTCACCAGTTGGGTATCAATACCTTGGTCTAACTACCAGTCTCCACTACCTCACCAGTTAGGTATCAATACCTTGGTCAAACTACTAGGCTCCACTACCTCACCAGTTAGGTATCAATACCTTGGTCTAACTACCAGTCTCCACCACCTCACCAGTAAGGTATGACTACCTTGGTCTAACTACCAGTCTCCACTACCTCACCAGCTAGGTATCAATACCTTGGTCAAACTACCAGGCTCCACTACCTCACCAGTTAGGTATCAATACCTTGGTCAAACTACCAGTCTCCACTACCTCACCAGTTAGGTATCAATACCTTGGTCAAACTACCAGGCTCCACTACCTCACCAGTTAGGTATCAATACCTTGGTCTAAACTACCAGTCTCCACTACCTCACCAGTAAGGTATGACTACCTTGGTCTAACTACCAGTCTCCACTACCTCACCAGTTAGGTATCAATACCTTGGTCAAACTACCAGGCTCCACTACCTCACCAGTTAGGTATCAATATCTTGGTCCAACTACCAGTCTCCACTACCTCACCAGTTAGGTATCAATACCTTGGTCAAACTACCAGTCTCCACTACCTCACCAGTTAGGTATCAATACCTTGGTCAAACTACCAGGCTCCACTACCTCACCAGTTAGGTATCAATACCTTGGTCAAACTACCAGGCTCCACTACCTCACCAGTTAGGTATCAATACCCTGGTCTAACTACCGAATGATTCTAAGACACTAACTTCATGTGGATGGCACATACCTCTTCATAATGGGCCTGAGTGTACTTGGGAGGGAAGCCGGCAATTGGAGGGGGTGTGGCCCGGCCCTGGTCATGGAAGGCAGGGGGCACAGAGTTGACCATTCTGCCAGTGTTGTAGTTGCATTCCAAGGTGTAGCTGAAACACAAGCAGTAGTATTACTATCACTTGGAGTATTGCAGCAGTATTACAATTAGACGACACAGACAAGGCAGTATTCACATCACTTTGTCTGTGTAATCCTCCAATGTAGGCTGTCACTAAATTTGAAGACATTGGGTACAACAGTTCATTGGGTCAACATATCAAATCAAAATCAAATTAGACATTTGTATAGTTAGAAGATAAACATCATGTGTTGGCCAATTTCCGTGTGTTATTGAGTATTCGAAGCACGGGAATTCATTTGGAACCCACGGCGGTTAGCGGAGGTTTCAAATGAAATATTCCGTGCTTCAAATACTCAATAACACCAAAATTGGCCAACACATGATGTTTATCGACTGATATAAACACAAAAGTAAACCAAAAGGTCCACACACGTTTTTGTGTCTGCACTCATTGACATCGAATACGGGTACAGCAGTGAAATGTCATCAGCCGGCCGTTTCGGCTGTCTCCCATGGTAGCATCTGGAACTGCTCATTTGTGACGTCATTCCGACTTTACGTCACAATATGATTTGAATGACGTCATCACAACTGACGACTTAACAATACAATGGTGTGAGCGATGTTTGAATGTATTATTACGCAGCGAATTTCCGGGAATCGAATACCATTTGATCATGTTTTTCAACCAATCAGATTAAAGAACACAGTGACTTTTGGTTAACAATGCTACATATCCAGAGTCCTCCTCATGTGCACTTAGTCGAATGCTCGTTTGAAGAGGATGGTTTTGTGACAAGATCGGAAACTGTTGATATTTTCCGATTTTCTGACATTTTCAGGTAATCCATTCCAGAGGACAGCACCCGCTCTGCTCAATGTTCTGTCCCCGTATGTTGTGGTTCAGACAGATGGAACATCTAAGCTTTGCTGACTAGCTGATCTGATCAAGTGACCTTCCAGGCTTGTGAAGGTTGACTAGTTCCTGGAGATAGAATGGAGCAAGCCCATTAATGGATTTGTAAACAAACACAATAAGTTTGAATACAACTCTGTCTTTTACAGGGAGCCAGTGTAAGTCCTTCAGGACTGGTGTTATGTGCACATACATATGTGTGCGTGTTATGAGCCTGGCAGCTGTGTTTTGAACACGCTGTAACTTGTCCATATACTGCTGCTGTATTCCATAGAGTAGACCGTTGCAGTAGTCTAGACGTGATGTCACAAATGCATGGGTTAGGCATTTTACTGATGGTGTGTCCATGTACCTGCTAACCTGTCTGATGTTCCTTAGGTGGAAATATGCAGATTTGCAGATGTTACGGACGTGATTTTCCATGCTTAATGTTGAGTCAAAGATGACACCTAGATTTTGAGCATGGCTTTCTGGTTGAACAAACGTGTCTCCAATTTGAACTCCAGGGACCTTGAACTTTGATTTTGTCTGTTTGGAGCTGAAGATGAGAATCTCAGTTTTGTCATCGTTCAATTTCAGAAAAACATTCATCCAACATTTGATCTCAGCTATGCAATTTGTTATTGCCTGCAGGGTATTCTGTACAGAAGATGCAGTTTGTGGCTTGAATCCGAGATATAGCTGAGTGTCATCAGCATAGAGATGATAGCTGAGATTGTGGGCTCGGGCTATATCACCAATGGGTATGGTATATACAGTGAACAGGATTGGGCCTAGGACTGAGCCTTGTGGCACTCCAAACCTTAATTCACTGCTCTCAGACCTTACCCCATCGATGATAACTGATTGCTTGTGTCCTGTGAGATACGATTGAAACCATGATAACGCATTGCCAGTGACTCCAAGACGTAACTGTAGAGTTTCCAAGAGAGTGGAATGGTCTATTGTGTCAAATGCTGATGATAGATCCAAGAGGACAAGAATTGCCGCTCCCTTGGAATCAACAGCATGCAGAAGGTCGTTCTTCACACGCAGCAAACCTGTTTCTGTGCTGTGACCTATTTTGTGTGCTGACTGCCTGATATCACCAAGATTGTTGTCCAGGAGGGGTTGTTTCAGTTGGTTCGCTACAACACGCTCTATCAATTTGGAAATGAATGGCAGATGTGAAACTGGACGATAGTTCTTAAAGACATTTGGTTCCAACGTTTCTTTAAAAAAGGTGTTTTTAGTGCTTCCTTCAGTGACGATGATACCTGGCACTGACTTAGTGACTGGTTCACTATGGATGTCATATCGCATTAACAAGAATCGGGACGTACGTATGGATGGACGCCGCTGAATACATAGTCCCCATACAATAAAATCGTATTTCTGTATTTTATGTTGAGGTTTAGGCAGCATGTCGTTAACTAAGACGTCACAGACTGCCCCTGTTTGAAGAGGTCTTACAATGATTCACAATTCATCTGGCTCACTGGTTACACCTGTGTTTTGTTCTTTGCGCTAATTAAGCGTATTTTTGTAACATTATGACCCAACACTGCCGCTGTTACAGGTCATTGGCTCCCTCCCTCTGCGAGCGGTCTGCGTTCTGCTGTTTATTTTGTTGACAGTTACATAGACAGATTCTTTAATACAAATGCATAAAATCGGTGATTTACAATGTGATTAGGTTGTCTGTCTACTTGCAAAGTTTGAGATCGATTGGATCATTGGATGAAGAGATATTTACAAAAAGACGGGTCCACATGCATTTCATGCCATAACTATAGCCTTAGTGTGAGTCATGCAGATACTGTCTACAAATACCACTTTGTTCCTTACAAAGATCACCAACTCACCTGTGTACGATGCCAATAGCCTTGAACACAGCAACTCTACCACTGCCTTCCTTGGACATCCCATCACGCTTGTCCTTTGAGTACATGTTCCGCTCCGAGAAGTTGCAGCCCGTGAAGTCAAAGTGAGCTGTGTTGATAGAGATCAACTTGGGGAACATCATATTCTCCACCTGACAAAACAGAGTTACAGTGAGAAACACATGGTTACAGTGAGAAACATATGGTTACAGTCAGAAACATAAGGTTACAGTCAGAAACATATGGTTACAGTCAGAAACACCTTAACATGTTTGATGTCTGTTTCCTAACCATGTTTATTATCAGCAAGTGATAGATACACAATCACACACCGGGAATCTCTATCTAAATGTTGGTTTACATGGGCACTCACATTAGGAAATAAACTACAGACTTAACTTGTCTCTTCACTTCCAGTAGATTTTATGGACAAATTACTTACATCACTTGACACAGTGCATTAAGAAATGTGGGTTATACAGACAAGACGATATCACACAGTTTTGGAAAATATGCATGAATGTCAAGGGGCCTTGTCCATCAATCTAAATGTCTAGCTTGGATCGCGTTACACTTGTTACCGAATGATTACAGTGCATTCAGCAGATATATGATAAGTAGCAGAGTCACCTGAGTATCTTCATTCTCATAGTAGTTTCCATAGATGAAGCAGCCTCGTTTCGATGCATGCCCGTGTAAATCAACATAGAATGCGATCCCACTCTCATGGGGAGGGATTTCTTTGAGTTTAGGATCGGAAAGATGAGGTGAGTTAGTGCTGGTGACATACACATCCCCATCATCCTCCGACCCTTCGTTGCCAAGATTGTCTGTGTCACCATCATCTGAATCATCTGAATCTGCTGTCATCTCATTGGTCGGACCACCATTACACCGGAAGTCATCGGACATGTTTAGCTCCGACAGACGGAGACGTAACTCGCTGTCAACTCGATGTGCATCTTTGTTCATGTCGAGATTGCTGAGTACACTACAACACGAGGACGAAACCTGGTTGGGAGGCATTGTTTCTGGAGCCAGTCCACCATCACTCAGCGATGTGTCAGTCCCGTCTAGGTCAGCAAGGTTCAGAGGTTCGATCTGAAATGACTTTGGTTGAGTTGAATCTATGTGACCTGAGTCCAGTTGGTCAATATCGAGTGTGGGCAGCTGGTTTGTTTCACTAAGCCACATCACCTCACTCACTGTCTGGTCACCTCGATGACTACTCACTGGTTCAATATGGTCTCTGATCACAACAGTTGTAGCACCACTGACCGGTGTCCTTGACGAGACAGGGTCAGCTGCAACCAGTGTTCGGGAACTCAGGTCTTCCCCATGCCCAGACAAGTTGAGCCGGGGGGTACGTGTTGCTGTTCGCTGTGGACTAGACAATTGTTCGCCCCGTGGGAAGTTGACCTGAATGTCAGACAGGTCGCCCTCTTTCTTGATACGGTTGTGGACGTGGTGGTAGATGATGACACTCTTGGCAGCATAGATGGATGGATGGAGGGTAACGCTGGGGTCCAAGTACATGCGGTTCAGGTTGACGCCCCGCTGGTCTGTCCTGTAGTGACCTCGCATCACGCCATCAGGATTCAACATTGGTATCAGTTTAAACACATACTGTCTACGTAGCTGTTGAGCTCGACAGTCATCTTCTCGCAGGATAAAGTCCAAAAATCCATTGAACACAAAACTTGCAGGTGTTTCCCCTGGATGGACACGACTGCTCAGTAAATACACCTGAAACAACAGATAACAGCATAGTAAATACACATGGAACAACAGATAACAGCATACTAAATACACCTGAAACAACACATAACTGCATAGTAAATACGCCTGGAACAACAGATAACAGCATACTAAATACACCTGAAACAACAGATAACAGCAAGGTAAATACGCCTGGAACAACAGATAACAGCATAGTAAATACACCTGAAACAACAGATAACAGCATAGTAAATACACCTGAAACAACAGATAACTGCATAGTAAATACGCCTGGAACAACAGATAACAGCATACTAAATACACCTGAAACAACAGATAACAGCAAGGTAAATACGCCTGGAACAACAGATAACTGCATAGTAAATACACCTGAAACAACAGATAACAGCATAGTAAATACACCTGAAACAACAGATAACTGCATAGTAAATACGCCTGGAACAACAGATAACAGCAAGGTAAATACACCTGAAACAACAGATAACAGCAAGGTAAATACGCCTGGAACAACAGATAACTGCATAGTAAATACGCCTGGAACAACAGATAACAGCAAGGTAAATACGCCTGGAACAACAGATAACAGCATAGTAAATACACCTGAAACAACAGATAACTGCATAGTAAATACGCCTGGAACAACAGATAACTCCTCAGTAAATACACTGGGATTAAAAGATAACCCCTGTACACCTGGATTAACAGATAAACTGACCATTAACTTTACTTATTATACACACAATATGTTGTAACTAGTAACAGATCAGTAGATACACATGGAACAACAGACAACAGATCAGTAAATACACCTGGAACAACAGATAGCTGCTCAGTTAATACATCTGGAACAACAGACAACAGATCATTAAATACACCTGGAACAACAGATCAGTTAATACACCTGGATTAACAGATAACTGCCCATTAACTTATCATACACACAATATGTTGTAACTAGTACATCCAAACTTCCACTGTGACAGATATCCAATCACTGCACTCGACATTAGATACAATTGCTACATCAACTACAAACGTAACATCATGACCAATAATTACACTGGGTCAACTTCTCCTACCCTTTTGCCTTTGAACTGTCGACATCTGGGTGTGTCTTTATCAGGAAACAGTTTGCCATCAAACCTTGGTTCCCGGTGCGAGCAGAGTCCATGACAGGAACTGATTGTGATGAGGTCCACACGCAGATTGTCCAAAGATTTACTCAGGAGTTCCCGATGATAGTAGATGGAGTCAGGTCGGCTACCATCAACAAAAACACATGATTAACCTTAAATTTGGAACCTCTGTTACAGCTGAAAATGTCCTAACCTCAGTACGCCATACTGTACACTGTAACTTTCCCTGAACCTAACAAGGAGCAGTGCTTGCTATAATGTTTTACACTGTAACTGAGCCGAGGAGCTGTGCTTTGATGTGCTAAGTCATATTTCTTTCAGTCCAATCCGGTTTGACAGAGTAACGTGTGAGGAAAGGCTAAGTCATCTACAGCTTGGAAGAATCTGAGCAGCATCCTGCACCTGTGTCCTGACTGAAACTGTATTTAGACTTTAACCAACAGAAATACCAATGGACTACCTACCTGTCAGGGCTGAGGTTTTTGCAATGTTCAAATTGTTTGTCTAGTTCTGTGAGCCGGTCCTGTGATTCAGTGTACGACCAGGGATAGCTGAAGGCAAAGTAGACTGTTGCACCTTTGATGTCAGGGAAACGGTAGCTGAAGCTGAGGACAAACTGACCATCCACTGTCTGGAGAAGCAAACATACTTCTATCACACACTCGTCTACATCGGAGTAAGAATTCTTTAATTGATTTTTTTTGGGTAAAACTGCTCATCATTGAAATTTTTAATTATAAACATACTTTTTTTTTATTGATCTTAACTGACCATTTATCATCATGTGATGCCAACCTACTGTCACCCAGGTACCAATGGGGATTGCTTGGACATAATGTCATGCACAAGATGTTATAAATCAGCAGGGGTGGATATCTTTAAAATTGATAGTGTACTTCGGTACAGTGGCACATGTAATGTCACTTGCCCTGATAATTTGGCCACTATACCGACCGTTTTCTAGCTGATTTTTTAAATAAACAACATAATTTACATTGGAAAGTCAACAGGACACCGGTACAGTGTGATATACAAATTTATATGCCCGACAGAAAAAAACACTGGACTCGGACGTTGGGCAATGGCTTATTTCCACCCCTGATCAGGTATTTGTTTATCTTAAGAAACAGCTGAAATCACAAGAATGAATACCATGTTCCTCTTGAGAAAAGAATATATCCTCGTCAATTCCTGATCATGCCGATATAAAGTGAATAAGATGTTGTTCATGCTCCAAGTCTTACCTAATATTATTCCCCGTCGTCCCCAAATGTTTTGTTTACCTCATAAGACGGCCGGTCTCTGATGCGCTCCCACTTGGGTCTGTTGGGGAGGATGCGGACCAAAGGGGTGTGGCCCTGGCTGTACAGCTTGCCCTGCCGGTTCATGTTCATCACATTGATCTTGATGAGACGACCCGGGTTCCAGCCTCGGATCCCAAAGTAGAACCAAGACCTGCAACAAGATGACAAAACAGGGATGGAAAACATGAGGTGGAGAAAGGCATTTCTGACTGCAAACAAACATCAAGTCAACAAGTTGCATGGTGTAGTTTCCATTTCCAGTACGTTACTGTTTCAGTTACAAGTGTAAGTATGTAATTTTCTGACTAAAATTGATATTTATACTCATGCTAAATGCTTGTCTCCTTCCTCTTGCAATGATAGTGGAACACTTGAAATCTCTTGAAGTTCCCTTCTAAAAAGAGGACGTAAAATCATCACTCACCCAGGAGTAGTCTCCCTTGCCTTCTTTGGCACCCTTTTTGGTCACATGACCAGCTATGTTTGTCACTCTCTCCGTTTGTATGCCCGACACCCGGATTTATAGGGAAATCCAGAGTGCCCTGAGAGAGGAGGTTGGGAGGGCTGACCTCATGAGTCCGGATAAGTATATAAAATATCAATTTCAGTCAGAAAATTACCTATTTTTCCTTATCCTGACTCATGCTAAATGCTTGCAGAATCTGTTGGATTCGGTGGTGGGTCAGGCAGGAGCCTTGAATTTCTTTTGTTGGTCGTCCAACTTGAACGAGGGTAGTAGTGCCAGTATCTCTTGTACTTTGGTCAACTTGACACCCGTCTTCATGGTGATAACTGTGCTGAGAGCAGCCAGGTACGTTGAGAGTGTTGAACCTTTTAAGTGTCTCGTCTGTCGCAAATGACACAGGTATTCCGCCACTTGAGGATGGGTTGCTTTCACCGCTGTAAAGCCTTTCCTCGTCGCATACTGTTCAAATCTCTGCCACTTGTCGTCGTACAAGTTGCGAGTTGATCTGTGTAGAGCTAGTGTTACTTTTTTCGCTGCTCTGGTGGAGTATCCTCTTGTCTTCAGGCAAGCTTTGATATGCTCCACGCGTGTAGCTGGAACAATGACGGATTCTCGTGAGCTTGCTTGGTGTGTGGATGGACTTGCAGGTTCGAACACTGGTAGTTTCAGGGTTGGACTTCCGAGTTCTTGTATGAGGACGGGAAACCATACCCTTTGCTGGCCAATAGGGCGCGACCAAAATCAGTTGCAACGTTGTCGTCTGCTTGATTTTCTGTATTACTTGTGGTAATAGTGCTGGAGGTGGAAACGCGTGAGCGTTTAGTCCTTCCCATGAGATGCTTAAAGCATCTGTTGCCCATGCCTGAGGATCCAGAATCGGTGAGACGAATGTTGGTAGTTGTTTGTTGAACTTTGTTGCAAACAGGTCTATCAGTGGAGTTCCTACTCTCTGTATGATGAACCGGAACACTTCTGGATGTAACATCCATTCCGTCGGGGATGGTTGTAGTGGACGAGATAGGGCGTCTGCTATGACATTCTTTGCTCCTGGAATGTGGCATGCCTTCATGTAGATGTTCAGGTCGTCGACGATGCTGAACAGGAGAAAGCTGAGTTTTAGCAGACTTGTTAATCCTTGTTTGTTGATGTAGAACGCTACTGTGGAGTTGTCCGTGTGGACCGTGAGCCTTGCGTTCCTTAGTACGCTGGACCAGTGTTGTAAAGCGTTGATCACTGCTTTCATCTCCAACAGGTTGATGTGCAGACTCTGATCCTGACTCGACCACTTCCCTGCTGCCACTTCGTTGTCGAGGTGAGCACCCCATCCTTGTAGTGATGCATCTACGTAGAGATGAGTGTTGCAAACCGGCTCTGACAAAAAGGTTCCTCTGCAAACATTCAACTTCTGAGACCACCATCAGAGGTATGGTTTCAGGCTGTCCGGTAGTATCAGCGGATCCAGACTGTCGAGATGGGCGTTCACAAATATTTGTAGTGGGCGCAGCTGTAGTCTCCCTCTGTGAGTCATGTCTTGAGCTGAGGTGAGTAGACCAAGCACGTAGTGTCAATGGAGAGAGCATTGCTTGAGATATCATTTGTTGTACCTTGATCCAACAATCCTCTAGGACGACTGTGTGATTCTGTGGTGTGATGAGCCATATTCCCAGAAATTGAAGATCCTGTTTGGTTCCAACTCCAATTAGAAGATTACTGGCCATCTACTGCAATTATGTCCTACGTTGTAGGTAAGTGGATGTAGGAACCCTTGCCATGTCCGTCATGGAAGCGGAGAGATGATCGATTCTGGAATCATGGCTTGAAGCATGTCTCATCAGTCTTCCCGGTAATATGTAAGGAAGATGTTGTCACCAGAATCCGAACAATGTGCAGCAATAATGCATAATACGTCATCTCTGGATCAGCAAAAATCTATGATGGACTGGGACTGCCATCGATGTGAAGTCTATTTATAATTGACTGGCTGCCGTGAGCAGAAACTGTCTAACGCTTGTTGCTGCAAGTCCCCAGATAACCAATATTAAATCTGCTGACAGGGGAAGTCCTCTATGACCCGGAAGATAGTCGAACCACGCTGTACCCTGCTAACTGGACTGTAAATGGAGCCTTTCCCACATTGAAAGAGTTGTTTACAACTGTAGACGACTTCCTGGCACGTGACTATGGCAGAGTTCTGCGCAGGGCGTTGTCTCTCATAGACAAATCAGATTTCAGATGTGATATCACCAGTGTTGCAGGTAAATGATCCTTGTAGAATCTTGTGCAGTTGTTAATTTCTTCATCAACACTCGACCTTGTCCGTATGCTCTTTGTTTGGCTTGTGCTGGAGTTACACGAGTGAACACGTGTCTAGATGGCTGAGTGGAAGCGCGCGCGAAAACTTTGCCGCGTAGTACTGATGTAAGCAGACTGTTCCGTCTGTTGTGACTGTATTCTTCAACTTTATAATCTTTACTGCAGTCAGCATCTTTTACAGATGTTCTGTAAAGTTGACCGTTACCGAAGTCTCGCTGAGGAACTGCGACAATGCTGTTAACTGTCCCCTTGATATCTTGTAAGCCCATGTCATGTAAATTCATCTTCAGTGTTTCATCGGATGTTATCTGACATCGTTAGTTCAGGTGTGCGTCTCTTCCTTCAGCCACGCGTTGATCCAACATAGCCAACATCTAGTTGTAGTGTGCAGTTGCGTTATCTTCTTATCTTCCATCTTTAAGATCTATTACAGGATTCACTTATGATCTTGTAATCTCAAACCCTGATGTATCATGAAGGGCTCCGATGATGAAGGGGAAATCTGCTATCGTTGAACGGCAGGACATGCTGACTCTGATTATAATCCTCCCCGTGAGTGCCTGCGCGCAGGTTGATGAAGGTCCAAGTTGGAAAATCCGTATCTGCGCAGTCTGCAGAATCCTGGAGAAGGACTGGATCTACTTCTGTGTTAGAATCCTTCCTGCTGAGACGCTGAAACTGCGTGGAGGCTCCATCGTGGACTGCTAACGCTAAGCTGGCGTTCGTTGAATCCTCCAGGCTTCTAGCTGCTGATACTTTTGACGGTAAAGATCTTCGCGAACGTGACTGTTCGTGAAGGCCTTCATCCGAGACTGCTTGCATAGCTAATATTCCTTCACGCAGGGCGACTGTCATCTGAGGGGTCTGCTATGCTGAGCTGACGTTAGTAGAGTTCTCCAGACTTCTAACTTCAGAGGGTGAAGTTGGAAATTTCCCTATCTAAAGATCCATAATGACATGAGTCTCTGTATGTAGATCTGTATGACTATGTAGAGCTGCGTGCAGGTCCTGGTGTGACCATGTATTCCTCATGGAGTCTTGAGTCTTGAGCCTTCAAGAAGGCTGATTGATGTAATCTCCCCTCTGTAAGATGTGGAGTGCCTGTGTGCAGGTTCCCGATGTGAGTCTAAGTCCGACGGTGATGATGATCAATATCTGCGGCGTCTGTAGGATTTTGGAGAACGCTTCAATCTGCTTCTGTGTGGAGAATCTTAGAGGCTCCTTCGGGGACGTGTAAGGCTGAGCTGACGTTGGTAGCGTTGTCCAGACTTCTAGCTTCAGACGAAGATCGTCAGGTGCTTGGGCCTTCGTGCAGGCTTTCTCTTCATCCATGCAGGTGCGTTGGAGAGGCTGCTGAACCTTCGTGCAGGCTTGTAGTCGTCGTAGTGGTCTTCGTAGCAGCTACCTCCTGCGCGAAGCGACGTTCCATCATCGACATCATCTGATCTGTAAACTGTTGCATAAACAGCCTCAGGTTGAAGTTCTGCGACGTATGTTGAGACTGCTGCAGGGTTGATGATGCTTCTGAGAACGTTGAGGCCTCTTCTAAGGTACACTGCACTTGTGAAGAGTTGACGCTGTTGCTATCTCTGGTAACCGATGTCTGCATTGATAGAAGGTCTTCAGTCAATGTCTGTGCTGATATAGTTGCCAATGTAGCTGTTGAAGCAGGCTTCGTCTTCTTGCTGACGACTGTGACTTTAGGTATGATGATGGGGGCATCATCATACACGTCGGCAGTGAAGGATCTCGTCTTCTGCGTAGAGCTGTGAAGAGACTTCAACGAAGTCCTAGAAGCTGTAGACTTCTTCTGCACTGAAGAAGATCTCGTCTTTTTCGTCTGCGATGAGGACAGCTCCGTTGACGACAATCTCTACTTTATTCGAGACGGAGTTCATCACTGGAACAGCAACCTGCCCTCATAAAACGCTCAGCAATTCACTGGAATTATGAACATCGGCAGCAGTAGTTAACACAACCGTCCTCAAGGGCGAAGAAGGAGAGAGTGACAAACATAGCTGGTCATGTGACCAAAAAGGGTGCCAAAGGAGGCAAGGGAGACTACCGTGGGTGAGTGATGATTTTACATCCGTCTTTTAGAAGGGAACTTCATGGGATTTCAAGTGTTCCAGTATCATTCACAAGAAGAAGGAGACAAGCATTTAGCATGAGTCAAGATAAGGAAAACTATGTGAATTACAGCCGATGTACAGCTATAATTATCTCAATTAATAAATCTTGGTATATAGTGCAAGTTTGAGGACGTGAATTACAGCCAATGTACAAGTTAACTATAAAACAAGTGCAAAATGATTAAAACACCTCACATTTGTACATGGTAAAGTGTAATAAAACCTGCTCCTTATTCCAAAAATGATGAATCTGTCACATCCTTTCACTTAAATCCTAATCATGCCAACTGAACACGTTTCACGTATCTTACCTGTTCCCATTTTCAAACTCAGTTCCTGCACAGTCTGGCTTTGTCCACACATTGAACTCGTAGTCTGGCCGAGGTTCTGATCCTGAGTAGTAGCTGCCACCTGCAACACACACAGAGCTACAACTAGTAGGACACACAGAGCTACAACTAGTACGACACACACAGCTACAACCAGTAGAACACACACAGCTACAACCAGTAGAACACACACAGCTATAACCAGTAGGACACACACAGAGATACAACCAGTAGAACACACAGAAATACAACCAGGACACACACAGCTACAACCAGTAGGACACACACAAAGATACAATCAGTAGGACATACACACACATCTACAACCAGTAGAACACACACACAACTAGTAGGACACACTAGTAGGACACACAACTACACACATACAACTAGTGGGACACACACATCTACAACTAGTAGGACATACACACACAACTCTAGGACACACAGGGCAGTAGACACACAGAGCTACACAGTACATACAGAGCTACAGTAGAATGCACACACACACAACAACTAGGGGACACACACACATACAACTAGTAGGACACACACACGCACAACTAGTAGGACACACACGCACAGACACACACACACACACACATACAACCAGTAGGACACACACACATACAACTAGTAGGACACACACACACAACTAGCAACCAGTAGGACACACACACACTACAACTAGTGGGACACACGACAATGCACACACACATACAACTAGTAGGACACACACACAGTAGGACAACGCACAGTAGGACACACACACATACAACTAGTAGGACACACACACATATACAACTAGTAGGACACACACACACATCATACAACTAGTAGGACACACACACACATCTACAACCAGTACAACTAGTACACACACACACATACAACTAGTAGGACACACACACATACACAACTAGTAACTGGTAGGGACACACACACAACTAGTAGGACACACAACACACATAGTAGGACACACACACACATATACAACTGGTACACACACACACACAACTAGTAGGACACACACACACATGCCACACACATAGTAGTGGGACACACACGCATATACAACTAGTAGGACACTACACACACACACACACACATTACACAAGTAACTAATTAGGACACACACACATATATACAGTAGGACAACCAGTAGGACACACACACAATTAGTAGGACACACACATACAACTATACACACACACTAGGTGGGACACACACACACATGCAACTAGTAGGACACACACACATATACAATTAGTAGGACACACACATACAACTAGTAGGACACACACACATATACAACTAGTAGGACACACACACACATGCAACTAGTAGGACACACACACATACAATTAGTAGGACACACACATACAACACACACACACAACCTAGTAGGGACACACACACATACAACTAGTAGGACACACACATACAACTAGTAGGACACACACACATACAATTAGTAGGACACACACACACAACTAGTAGGACACACACACATATACAACTAGTAGGACACACACACACATGCAACTAGTAGGACACACACACATATACAATTAGTAGGACACACATACAACTAGTAGGACACACACACACAACAACTAGGACACACACACATACAACTAGTGGGACACACACACATACAATTAGTAGGACATACAATTAGTAGGACACACACACACAACTAGTAGGACACACACACATATACAACTAGTAGGACACACACACATATACAATTAGTAGGACACACACACATACAACTAGTAGGACACACACATACAACTAGTAGGACACACACACACATCAACTAGTAGGACACACACACACATACAACTAGTAGGACACACACACATATACAATTAGTAGGACACACACATACAACAACTAGGACACACACACATACAACTAGTAGGACACACACACACATGCAACTAGGACACACACACATATACACACTACAACTAGGACACACACATACAACTACAACACACACATGGGACACACACACACATACAACTAGGACACACACACACACAACTAGTAGGACACACACACATATACAACTAGTAGGACACTCACACATACAACTAGTAGGACACACACACATACAACTAGTAGGACACACACACACATACAACTAGGAGGACACACACACATATACAACTAGTAGGACACACACACACATACAACTAGGACACACACACATATACAACTAGTAGGACACACACACATGCAACTAGTAGGACACACACACATATACAACTAGTAGGACACACACATACAACTAGTAGGACACACACACATACAACACACAGAGTAGTAGAACACACACAGAGCTACAACTAGTACGACACACACAGATACAACCAGCAGGACACACACAGCTACAACTAGTAGGACACACACAGATATAACCAGTAGGACACACACAGCTACAACTAGTAAGACACACACAGATATAACCAGTAGGACACACACAGCCACAACTAGTAAGACACACACAGATATAAACCAGTAGGACACACACAGCTACAACAAGTATGACACACAGAGATATAACCAGTAGGACACACACAGCTACAACTAGTATGACACACACAGATATAACCAGTAGGACACACACAGCTCCAACTAGTAAGACACACACAGATATAACCAGTAGGACACACACAGCTACAACTAGTATGGCACACACAGATATAACCAGTAGGACACACACAGCCACAACTAGTAAGACACACACAGATATAACCAGTAGGACACACACAGCTACAACTAGTAAGACACACACAGATACAACCAGTAGGACACACACAGCTACAACTAGTATGACACACACAGATATAACCAGTAGGACACACACAGCTACAACTAGTAAGACACACACAGATATAACCAGTAGGACACACACAGCTACAACTAGTATGACACACACAGATACTGTAAACGTACTTATTTTCGCGTGGTGCAATTTTCGCGGAATTGACAGTTTAGACTACATCGCGCGGTCAATTATTCGCGCAATCAGTAATTGCCGGAACTGCCAGCTGTCTCTTTGGCCGCCACTAATAGCAGTGAAAACAAACAGAGTGGCTTAACCTGTCAGGCGGCGTTTATTGCTTACTCACAGGAAATCCCTATCTGTGCGATATACTAGTACACAGTAATCCGTTTACTCCCGGAAGAGATGAAAAACACATCAGTCTTATGTTCCGAATTCTGACGATTTGACGAATTAACTTATACTGTATATGAAGCTCTTTGTGATTTCAAACAAGCCGGGTTGTTGTGAATGAGATGATTGAGTGTTAGTGACTATTCGCTTCATGATGTACTGGTGAATGAAATCTTAATGAATAAATAAAATACTGCTGTATTATTTCTTTCCGAGTCGTTTCACGGTAATCTGTTTTGTATCAAACCATGTCATGTGACCAATTTCCATGGCGGCCACAACACACATTACTGTTTTCGCTAATTCGGCAATGGGATTTGGCTCATTATTTAATTATGTTTTGGGAAATCCATTACAGCGACAGTTAAGTATGATCAGTCGTCATTTTAAGATTCCCGTTGATTTCTGTCTTCAAACGTCATGTGTTATGGTAACAACTCAGGGGCGAGCGTGGCTAGACTGAATGAATGACAGGTTTATTCGCGGTGTATAAATTTTCGCGCTAAAATGTTCTGCGCGAAAAGCGCGAAAATAAAACCTGCGCGAAATATAATACGTTTACAGTACAACCAGTAGGACACACACAGCTACAACTAGTAAGACACACACAGATATAACCAGTAGGACACACACAGCCACAACTAGTAAGACACACAGAGATATAACCAGTAGGACACACAGAGCTACAACTAGTATGACACACACAGATATAACCAGTAGGACACACACAGCTACAACTAGTAAGACACACACAGATATAACCAGTAGGACACACACAGCTACAACTAGTATGACACACACAGATACAACCAGTAGGACACACACAGCTACAACTAGTATGACACACACAGATATAACCAGTAGGACACACACAGCCACAACTAGTAAGACACACACAGATACAACCAGTAGGACACAAACACACACACAGAGCTACAACCAGTAAACACACACAGCTACAACTAGTAAGACACGCACACATCTACAACCAGTAGAACACAAACACACACACAGAGCTACAACCAGTAGGACACACACAGCCACAACTAGTAAGACACGCACACATCTACAACCAGTAGAACACAAACACACACACAGAGCTACAACCAGTAAACACACACAGCTACAACTAGTAGTAGAACATCTACAACATAGAACACAGCTACAACAGAGTACAACCACACACACACACAGCTAGCAGTAGAACACACACACAGCTAATAGCGCACACACACACACACCTAGTAGAACACACACCTAATGCACACATGCACACACACACACACACACACACTAAAACACACACAGTGCTACAACCAGTAGGCGTTCCATGTATGACCTTCAAGATTCGGAAATTTCTTTGTATATCTTACTTGGTTCATCTTCATCTTCTCGGACTACTTTCTCGACACGGGTAAGGTTGCCAGAGTCAAACTTGGAGGTAAACAGTAGTCCCCCAACACGACTCTCCATGTTACAATCTGCAAGTACATCAAAATATAATGTCAGCTGAAGAAACAACATTCCAATGTATTACATCCTGCAAATAACTGATGACTATGGACATCGTATCGTGACATAGTGTATCGTGACATAGTGTATCGTGACATAGTGTATCGTCCAAACCCTACAAACCATGACCATCTGGAATAGAATTGGAAATTTTAATGTAAATTGTATATTTATATACTTATCCTATCTCATGACTTGCACCTCTCTCTCTTGCTTCGACTGTTAGTGGAACGACTGTAAACTTTTCTCCATAGGCCTCCTTGTCCATTTGCCCGTGCATTCCATGCTGCTCTCCTTAATTAGCTTCCTTGTTCCTAATAAAGCTTGCAGCATGCTCCACTAATTGCCCACGTGACTACCTTGAATGATCATTCTCATCTTGGAGCCAACGTTGTAATCTGAGTAGTGAGGAGGCCGGGCGGGCATCCACCGCGTGAGATAGAATAAGTATATAAATATACAATTTATATTAAAATTTCCAAATTTTAAAACTTATCCTATCTCACGACTTGCACTTATCCCACGGTTGGACGGCCGGGCCGCAGATTACCCTTCTGTCTGGACAGTGCGAACAGCTGGTCTTGGAGCTGTGTGGACTGATGACAACTGTAGATAGCGATGTACAAGGGAGGCCTGTAACGCATGCTCGCAATTCCTATGCTTGTAGTGGGTTCTCTGGAACCCCTTGGCTTACTAAGCACAACGACTCCCAGGGAGATGGGTGCTCCCGAGCGATGTGGTGTTCGGCCACAACCTTGTACAAGACAAGGTTAGTCAAAGGATGTGCCAGGCAACTTTGGAGGCAGAACGCAACGAAATCCACTGGAATACAGGAGTGTCACACTTCACTGACGTAATTGCTCCGTGGAGTAGAGGTCAGGAAGCGTGAATGTCGAACACCTCTGCATCGTCATACTGATTGTGCCTCAGGTCCGTAGGGCCACGCTAGGTGGCCGTATTCCGATGCCTTGGTATGGAGGCCAAGTGAAGTAGTTCTTGAATCCATATAATGAGAACAAAAGGTTGAGATCCAGTTCAACTTTTATTCAATATATACAAGGAAGTAGTAACGCGAATGCGGAACTGTCCCTCATCTGCAGAGCCAGTACAAGAGGTCCGAACTGGTGGAGTCCCTGGACATCCGTGACAGACAGGTCTCACAAGTAATGTGAAGAGAAGACTGTATCAGAACGCCAGAAGCAACCTTCCATGATAGCGGTCAAGGAGCAGTTGCTATGGAGGGCCATCGTCGAGGCTAGTGCACGAGTCTCATGAGGATTGGAAGTGGCTGTAGGAGGCAACCCTGCAAAGGTGTAGGCTCGCAGGATCGTGGCCAGATCCAGAAGGCCAATGTGGTCCGGGAAACATCAGTTCTTGAAGCGTTCGACAAGGGTATGAAGAGGCGCTTCCGTAGCTGTCGACAATCCTTGGAGGCAGCAAGGTAAACTTGTAGAGCCCTAACAGGGCAGAGTGTCAAATCTTCATTATCATCAGGCCCAAGAATGGTGGACAACAGGGGAATGGTAAACATCCGGTCCGGTTGCCCTGGCAGTTGGTTTTTCGCAATGAAGTCCCAGCGGAGTCTTGCCAGGCTTCTTCCGCTCGAACCACACCCGATTGACATCAAGCGCATGCAGCTCAGATATACGAGCAGCGGTAGCCAAAGCTACCAGGAAGAATGTCTTGAATGTATCTTGTTCGAAGTCCTTGGTTTCTAAAGGTTCATAATCTGTAGAAATCATATGACGAAGGACGACGGACAGATCCCAGGCCGGAGGTCTGAACTTCCTGGACTGGTCAGAGAGTCTATAGGAGCGTAGTAGACTCTGCAACTGGGGAACAATGGAAATCTTCGTGCCCGTGGTGGTAGCCAAAACCGAGTTGATGGCGGCTAAGTAGGTAGCTAACGTAGTACCCTCGAGTTTCTTAGTAGTGCGGAGATGCTGGAGAAACTCAGCAACGACCTAAGCTGAGGTGGAAGTGGGAGATGCAATTCCCCTAAGCTTGCAATAGTCTTCAAACTTCTTCCACTTGTTGTCGCACAAGGAACGGGTCGAAGTACGATGCGCTGAAGTGATAGCTGTGGCTACTTGGCGATAGTAGCCCTTAGTTATGAGAGGACTCTGAAGCGGCGCCAAACGTGTAGATTGAGGGTCTGAGGTGACCCGTGGCGCAGTTCCGAATGAGGGTGAAGAAGAAGGTCGTCCCGGTTGGGAAGCGGTACTGGGTTTGGCTCTGCCAGGCTTCTTAGGTTGACGAACCTTGTGGCGAAAAGATCTATTTGAGGCCGTGATAACGGGTAGATCATCGAATGAAAGATCTGGGGCAGTAACTTCCACTCTGTCGGGGATGGTTGGTTGGATCGGGACAAGGCATCGGCGATCACATGTTTTACCCCGGGAATATGTCTGGCTCTGGCTACGATGTTGAGTGAGTCGATGAGATGGAAGAACCTGATCGCCCATTGTAGCAGATTCGCCAAGCCTGTTGAGCCTTGATGATTTATATACCAAACCACTGTCGAATTGTCTGATTGGATCAGCAGACTGGTTGATTGAACCTCTGTTGCCCAATGTGAGATGGCTTGAATTACCGCCTTGAATTCCAGCTCGTTTATGTGAAGTACCCTTTCGTCGGATGACCACAGCCCAGCCACTTGGTGGTCAAGGAAGTGAGCTCCCCAACCCATGAGGGATGCATCGACGAATAGGTGATGAGTCGGTGCAAAGGGGATCATAGAGACTCCGGCGCAAACATTCTGTTTGTCGAGCCACCATTGAAGGACTGGACGAAGCGGTTCTGGAAGGCAAATTAGTTCCTTGGGGTTGTCGGCCTGAAGGTACGGGCGTAGAAATCGCCGTATCGGCTTAAGTTGGAGCTGGCCTCTGTACGTTAAGGCTTGAGCTGACGTCAGAAGGCCCAGTAGCTCCTGCCACTGTCGGAAGGTTCTTGCCTGAGACAGTGCTGGAGGAATGCATCGCTGAATCTTTATCCACCTGTCGTGAGGTACGAACATCATCCCCTGACGAGTGTTGAACAGTGGTCCGAAGAATTGGAGTTTCTGAGTCGGTATTAGTTCCGATTTCGCGATGTTCAACAGCGACCCTAACTGTCTGAGCAGCATGGTGGTGAACTGTAGCTGGTGAAGCAATACGATCGGATCCTGTTGAGCCTGGATGCAATCGTCTATGTAGCTTTCGAAGGTGATCCCTTGAAAGTGAAGGAAGCTCGTTATGGGCTTGGTAATTCGGGTAAAAAGCCACAAGGCCTAAAATTCCAAATGGTAGGACTTTCCATTGGTAGTGATTCCTGTTGAACACGAGGGGAAGGTACTTCCGGTGTTCTGGATGTATCGAACGTGAAGATAAGCATCCTGAAGATCTAGGCTGATGAGGAAGTCTCCCTTCGACGGGAGGAACCACCACAGCCAGCTCTGTTTCCTCTGCCACGGCCTTGAGTGGATGCGCCACGAAAAAGATTGCATAAATCCGGATTGGTAGGGGTGAGTCCTTGCCTTGCGTCTGACTTCTGTATCTTTAACAGTTCAATCGAGACTTGAAAGTGGGTTTCTTTATCAACTTTATTAGATACTTCTTGGATGCTACCATTGTAGAGGGCGTCAGTAAACCAAGGCTTGCGAAACAGTTCTGTTTTAAATTGCTCCTCCCATGAAGAGATGTTAAGGGGTCCACATCGGCGAACAGCAAGAGTGTAGCCCAAAAAATGAGACAACTGATCCAGGATAATTTAGAACTGGTCCAGAGCTAAAGTCATGCATCCTCGGATGTAAGCGTCTTGATCAGAGTAAGTATGCTCCGGAGCAGTGTTAACAGCATCGACTGCTGCAATCACGCAACTAATAGACGGCAACGTCTTTCTCACGGCTGAATCCATGTGAGCCAACTCTCGGTCCTCAATAATGTAGGGCGAAGCAGCTCGTTTGCCACACAGGGTTGAACAACAGACGCCGCTCTCTTGCGTGAAGGTACGATTTTCTGTCGCTGATACTTGATACGCTTGGCGGGAGTGGGATCAGATTCTGTTGATTTCCTGTCCCTATCGGCGATTCTCCGGGAGCAAACACGAAGGTAGGCCTTAAAATCCTCATCTTTTAGTGAATTACACTTGCCACATCGTTTGTTCCAGTTACATTGTCCAATACAGTCACTGCAAGACGAGTGAGGGTCGAGGGACGAATAATTCGTCTTGCATTGAGCACAAACTTTCCTTTTCCTTGAATGATTATCAGGTTTCCCCATGATGTTAGGGTGAAATAATGTCCCTTATATAAAGCACGTCCACACAGTCGTGCGACAAGAAAGAGAATGATCATTCAAAGTACTCACGTGGGCAATTAGTGGAGCATGCTGCAAGCTTTATTAGGAACTAGGAAGCTAATTAAGGAGAGCAGCATGGAGTGCACAGGCGAATGGACAAGGAGGCCCTTTGGAAAAAAGTTTACAGTCGCAAGAGAGAGAGAGGTGCAAGTTGTGAGATAGGATAAGTTCAAAAATTAATAATACCCACTGTGGTCAAATGTTAATAGTTAACTATAATAACTGGGTGTGTAATTGTTACCAGCACAACATAGCAGTCTCTGGCTACCTGGCTTACATGGATTACACAACAAGGTACCAGATGTTAGGACAACCTGGCTTACATGGATTACACAACAAGGTACCAGATGTTAGGACAACCTGGCTTACATGGATTACATAGCAAGGTACCAGAAGTTAGGACAACCTGGCTTACATGGATTACACAACAAGGTACCAGATGTTAGGACAACCTGGCTTACATGGATTACATAGCAAGGTACCAGATGTTAGGACAACCTGGCTTACATGGATTACACAACAAGGTACCAGATGTTAGGACAACCTGGCTTACATGGATTACATAGCAAGGTACCAGAAGTTAGGACAACCTGGCTTACATGGATTACACAACAAGGTACCAGATGTTAGGACAACCTGGCTTACATGGATTACATAGCAAGGTACCAGAAGTTAGGACAACCTGGCTTACATGGATTACACAACAAGGTACCAGATGTTAGGACAACCTGGCTTACATGGATTACATAGCAAGGTACCAGAAGTTAGGACAACCTGGCTTACATGGATTACACAACAAGGTACCAGATGTTAGGACAACCTGGCTTACATGGATTACACAACAAGGTACCAGATGTTAGGACAACCTGGCTTACATGGATTACACAACAAGGTACCAGATGTTAGGACAACCTGGCTTACATGGATTACATAGCAAGGTACCAGATGTTAGGACAACCTGGCTTACATGGATTACATAGCAAGGTACCAGATGTTAGGACAACCTGGCTTATGGATTACACAACAAGGTACCAGATGTTAGGACAACCTGGCTTACATGGATTACATAGCAAGGTACCAGAAGTTAGGACAACCTGGCTTACATGGATTACACAACAAGGTACCAGATGTTAGGACAACCTGGCTTACATGGATTACACAACAAGGTACCAGATGTTAGGACAACCTGGCTTTACATGGATTACACAACAAGGTACCAGATGTTAGGACAACCTGGCTTACATGGATTACACAACAAGGTACCAGATGTTAGGACAACCTGGCTACATGGATTACATAGCAAGGTACCAGATGTTAGCAACCTGGCTTACATGGATTACACAACAAGGTACCAGATGTTAGGACAACCTGGCTTACATGGATTACATAGCAAGGTACCAGATCTTAGGACAACCTACATGGATTACAGACCAGTTAGGACAACCTGGCTTACATTACATGGATTACACAACAAGGTACCAGATGTTAAGACAACCTGGCTTACATGGATTACATAACAAGGTAGGTACCAGAAGTTAGGACAACCCTGGCTTACATGGATTACACAACAAGGTACCAGATGTTAGGACAACCTGGCTTACATGGATTACATAGCAAGGTACCAGATGTTAGGACAACCTGGCTTACATGGATTACACAGCAAGGTACCAGATGTTAGGACAACCTGGCTTACATGGATTACACAACAAGGTACCAGATGTTAGGACAACCTGGCTTACATGGATTACACAACAAGGTACCAGATGTTAGGACAACCTGGCTTACATGGATTACACAACAAGGTACCAGATGTTAGGACAACCTGGCTTACATGGATTACATAGCAAGGTACCAGATGTTAGGACAACCTGGCTTACATGGATTACACAACAAGGTACCAGATGTTAGGACAACCTGGCTTACATGGATTACATAGCAAGGTACCAGATGTTAGGACAACCTGGCTTACATGGATTACATAACAAGGTACCAGATGTTAGGACAACCTGGCTTACATGGATTACACAACAAGGTACCAGATGTTAGGACAACCTGGCTTACATGGATTACATAGCAAGGTACCAGATGTTAGGACAACCTGGCTTACATGGATTACACAACAAGGTACCAGATGTTAGGACAACCTGGCTTACATGGATTACATAGCAAGGTACCAGATGTTAGGACAACCTGGCTTACATGGATTACACAGCAAGGTACCAGATGTTAGGACAACCTGGCTTACATGGATTACATAGCAAGGTACCAGATGTTAGGACAACCTGGCTTACATGGATTACATAGCAAGGTACCAGATGTTAGGACAACCTGGCTTACATGGATTACATAACAAGGTACCAGATGTTAGGACAACCTGGCTTACATGGATTACATAGCAAGGTACCAGATGTTAGGACAACCTGGCTTACATGGATTACATAGCAAGGTACCAGATGTTAGGACAACCTGGCTTACATGGATTACATAGCAAGGTACCAGATGTTAGGACAACCTGGCTTACATGGATTACATAGCAAGGTACCAGATGTTAGGACAACCTGGCTTACATGGATTACATAGCAAGGTACCAGAAGTTAGGACAACCTGGCTTACATGGATTACATAGCAAGGTACCAGATGTTAGGACAACCTGGCTTACATGAATTACAGTACAGTTTACACAACAAGACAACAGATGTTAGGAGGACCTGGTTTACATAAAACAGACAGACCTTTTGTTTAGGACTTCGATTATTCAGAGTACTGGAATCAGGAGTTTATTCATTTATAATCACTTGATTAATGAACCCTGATTGCTAGCAGCATGTCCTAGAAGCACTTACCTTACACAGGACACAACAGTAGGTTACTAGGTAGCTTGGCAAAGGATGCCTTGCTGTATGGACTGCCAAATTCTCTGTCGTTACAAACGGCATCCTGACATTGTGGCATTCTGACAAGTCATCACAGCACATCCCATACAGCTGTGTTCCACAGTGCAGCAGCTGTAACAAGGGAAACAGATGTTGTTGAGGGTCAGCTACAGGAGATCATGTTTCAGACAGGTTAGCATGGTAAGATTTGAGAGTCTTGTGATGTTCCTCACCATGTCCATATGTGGTAAACACTGCAGCATTACTAAACCAGGTTAACAAGCTAGTGTCGGGAATTGGTTGAAATCTCACAATTGATGATTGCTTCATTACCAACGAACAATCATCGAAAAAAATTGGTTAGCGTCATTTTTCAGATTTTCCTATCCAGGTTGTAATTACAGATATGTATAACATGATGCAACTTGCTAATTTAAAGTGATGACTAATATATCATGAACATAAACTTCCTGGAGTCTTAGAGAAATAATCAGTCATGACTTTTCAGATAGTGAAGTGAATTAAACACGTTTTCAGGCCCTGACAACTTCTAAGATATGTTCCATTGTATTTCAATAAAACAGTAGTTCCAAAATCGTTTATGTTCGATAATGAGAAAATGTGATCGATTGCTTGGTTCTTTTGGTCACTGCGACCAATCTTCGATTGTTTCAATTAATCAGAACACCACTATAACAAGCACAGAATACTGTAAAGTGCACTCATCTGTTTTGCTTATTTCATGAGAAATATTTCTTCTCATATTAATGTTTATCGAACTATGACATGATAACTAACAATTATATCAAAATCTAGTAAAAAACAGCTGCTGATGACAAAATAACTACAGTTAAACTGTTACTGGTCCTTCTGAAAATGTACAACAATGAACAGTTCCGTCATGTTGCAAAGTTGTTATGCCCCTAGATTTACAATTTCTGACTCTTAGAATTTATATGAAAACATTGTTAACTTGTTTATCTGTCAGTCACCATTATTATCAACAGTGAGCAGGAAACAAATGATAGGAGAGATTACGATTGTGGAAAAGATCTACAAAATCAAGGTAAAGTATTGGAATGAGTGAGTGAGTTGTTTTTTTAAGTTGCTTTTAGCAATTTTCCAGCAATATCATGGTGGGGACACCAGAAATGGGCTTCACATATTGGGCCATGTGTGGAATTGAATCCAGGTCTTTGGCGTGACGAGCGAACGCTTTAACCACTAGGCTATCCCACCGCCCCAGTATTGGAATGAGCATGACTGGGCAGTTTTCAATAGTTTTTAAATAGAAATAAACTCGCTTTTGGATGTGTAAGATATAAAAACAAATGTTCACCATGGGACCAGACAAACCACCACCACCACCAGAGTGAAGGAAGGTGAACACCCTGCCAGACAAGCAGTTCTTACAGACTTGCTGGTCATGTTTCAACCTTCACCTTCAGTCCTGGATGTCATTATGTCATTACTCTTTTTATAACTGTACATGTTGCCTTGTCCAGGCTTACCATGTGGAAATAGTCCTGATTTCAGGTCAGTGTTCTCAACGATACAACACCAGTGCATCAATGTCTGGGTTTATGCAGGACTGTAAAACTCTTCTTTTTTTTTTCATTCAATAGCGGAAACAAATTTTTTAAAGAGACTTGTGTTTCTTGAGTTGGTCAATTGGTCAATCTAAGTCCTGTAGGTTTGTTGAAAATATGTCATCAAATGAGATAGTGTTGTAGTATAAGGCAAGGAGTTGTGTGTCAAGCTACTCATCTTATATTCTTAATACACTTTGTATAACTTGTAACTTGCAGTAGTCGTTCTAAGTCAGTACATGTGAGTGTGTGTGTGAAAGCTATTTTGTGTCTGCGATATTCCATCTGTGTCAGGTCCACTTGACGAGCCTGTTGTGGACAACATGAACAAACATTCCCCCCTGCTAGGATGGCGCACTTGGTACTGGGTACTGTGTTTCCACATCCATACATGGTTTACTGTTAGTTTTTCTGTCATCAGACGGTTGGCATAAACCACTCAGTGACTCAGAAGAAACTATCAAAACCCATGTAGCCAAGTTATGCAAAGTGTACACTAAAGTTTGTTTATTTTTATATCTCAGTATAATCAAACTTGCCTGCCCAACTCATTGTCTGCCTGCCAGAAACTGCTGCTGATGGGTGCTCCCTAATTTACTTTTGGTTTATCATGTTTATGGGAAATAAACACACACAAAATGTGATGAAAAGGGCCATGGAACTTTTAAGTCAGAACTTGATCTAAAAATCTTAAAAAGATTTGAGAATAATCAGCCATCGACTCCAAATGGGTAAATGAAAAGCAAAACAACTCAAATAAGGAAAAGTCCAGTAATTGTCAATACAGTACACAGTACTGAATACCCTGTACCAACAATATCTGCTGTTTTTGGTATACCCAACACAGGAAAATGTTTATAAGAAACTATGATATTGTTATGTGTCAAACCTGATCATATTTCACATTTTCTGCTTATCCACAAGCATTGGCAATTGTTCACAAGCATTGGCAATTGTTCCGTCTAGAACAGTGATAAGATCATACATCTGTGTTAGTCAACGGTGTTGTTCCACTTGTTTGGTGATTTATGATGCTTATCTTGTTTACCTCTATCTACATGATCTAGTACTTGCAGAAACACCTGATAATTATTCAAAATGTCAGGAGATTTGTCAGATTGTTTACTAGACAGCAAAACACCTGACAATATTTTATTTAATTGATACATTTACAATTGAAAATAGCTCTGGGTTGAAATATGCATATTGCTACAGCGTGTCGGGTATCAAGACCTTGAACGAAAGACACATTTAAGTGCTATAATGTTTTGGAACAATATAGACATCATGCCAAATTTCACTTGAAAAGAAATACTAATCAGATGCGTTCCGATTTCACCTGTAATTTCGGAATGAAGCAATGTACTTCAAGAAATACGTTGCCAGCACTACTGCAGCACACTGGCAGCTGACTATTTGCCAATCCACCGGTACAACAACTTGCATCTGACAAGTTCAAACGAATCCTGTTTATGGACAAATTCATACATGTCAGTGCAAACAAGAAAACTCTCAATTGGCAAATAATACTGTCCCACTATGTGACTAAAACATACCTTAATGTAATCAACATGTCAACAAGCTTTTCTTCTCCAAGAGGGGATAAAAATTACAAATCACATAGCTTCCTGTAAGTTTTCAGTGCTACGGCAGACATATTGTAAACTATCATGGTTGCTGACCATGTGATCCGTACTGACCAATCAAGTTTAAGCACTTAATCACATGATCACAACATGGATGATCCCGTTAAAGTCAACACGTGATAATTTTCTTTACTGGGTAGAATATAGTTCAGCACATGTATACGTTTGTGTTTATACCAAAGACGTATATACACCCTGTGTATATATGTCTTTGGTTTATACTTATTCTTACTTCCTCTTGTTGTTAACAAAGATTGTTCAAGTTACATATACGGACCATTTTCCTCCTGGATTGGAATGAATGTCGTTTTGGGCCATATGATAAGAGATCTTGAATGCAGTTTACCGGGCGAAACCCCCTCGCTAATTATATCACTAATTAGTCAGTAATCCGTCGAATCGCTTTCAAGGCCACGCGATCGATGCTAATCAATCTGAAAGAGTGCAAGACGACTTGATCCTTATTGGATATGGCTTTCCACAAGCCTTCCTCAACCATCTCGTGTTATCAATAAGGCACTGTTGTCAAGCTTGTATAATATAAATAATAATAATAATAATAATAATTGATTTATAGAGCGCCTATTTCCAAAAGATATTGCTCAATGGCGCTATGAAGAGAAAAGATTGTAGACAATGTCTATGGAAAAGAGAGTTTGAACAGATGAGTTTTGAGGGCAGTTTTGAAAGCATCAGCAGATTCTATTTCTTTTAGGGTGAGTGGTAGAATGTTCCAGAGATAGGGGGCTGCAGCAGAGAACGCTCTTGATCGTATAATAATGGTCGTCATATCCAACACTGGCTTTAGAACTGACACCACTCCCCTTTTAACCTGAGATGAAATTAGGAGATGACGTGTTGAAAATGTCATTACGAGTAAGCATCAACATATTGGTGTTGTCCAACCTGCGTTTACGCATAATACACACCTACATAGGTCCAAAAGTAGATGAAACGCCCAAGAGGATGTGAATTCTGGTTGTAGTCTTTCACCTATAATATTCCTGTCAACAGTGTGTCATCTGATGCCTAAAAACATCAACAAGGAACTAATTAAGCTCCCTCTTACTTACATCTTTGTTTACAACTGACAGATCATTCATAGAACTATCAGGTTTGATTAAGTTATTGTTTATATTACACACACGATTTGAGAGTGTGGGGACTGTGTTGGGTACCAATATGGGTGAAGTGTCCAATCATCGATTTCGGTGAAATGACTCTGACGACAAAATCAAAACAACTTATAACAGAGGTCTTGCGTTAGTGGTTGACTCTAGGACCAGACCAACCAGGAGTGAAGGAAGGTGAACACCCTGCCGGACAAGCAGTTCTTATAGACTTGCTGGTGACCTTCAGTCCTGGATGGAATTAGGGACCATTCATCATTTATTGCTAGGAGGGGTGATGATGATCTTAAGGGGAGGGTCATCCATTTTGTTCTGGCCATTAGTGGGGAGGAGGGGCAAATGTCATCAATTTGTCCACATGCACTGGGGTGGGGGGTCAGCAATTTTGTACATATTACTAGTAAAAATCATGGGAATGGGGTGGGTCATTGATTTTGTACATGACACATGGGGGTCTCTTACTTTGTATATAAATTATATTGGGGGCATTCACATTGTACATTCTTCTCCATAAAAATCATCATCACCCCCACTAGCTATATAAATTATGAATGGTCCCTTACCCTTTCCATTACTGGACATGTTGCCTAGTCCAGGCTTATTGTGTGAACCTTGTCCTGATTTCAGGTCTGTGTTCTCACCGATACAACACCAGTGCATCAATGTCAAGGTTTCTGCAGGACTGTGAAAACACGTTCTTTTATTCGTTCAATAGCGGAAACAAATTTCTAAAGAGTCATGTATTTCTTGAGTTGGTCATTTGGTCGTTCTAAGTGTTGTAAGTTTGTTGAAAATATGTCACCAAATGAGATAGTGTTGTAGTATAAGGCAAGGAGTTGTCGGTCAAGCTACTCATCTTAGCAATACATTTGTATGACTTTTAACTTGCAGTGGTCATTCTAAGTTGGTAGATGTGAGTGTGTGAAAGCTGTTTTGTGCCGCAGTGGACAACACGAACAAACATTCCCCCTGCTAGGATGGCGCACGTGGTACTGGGTACTGTGTTTCCACATCCATGCATGGTTTACTGTTAGTTTTTCTGTCATCAGACGGTTGGCATAAATCACTCCGATGAATCTATGAATGATTCAACCCTCTACAAAAACAGACTTTCAAGGTGATAGATGTCAGCAATAATATAGCTGTATGGTGGAAGCAGATAACCAACATTATTATGGCAAAACAATGTAGTGATCGATATTGTGAGCACTGACCCACATTGTTGATGTATGGTGACGACCAAGTCACTGACCCACATTGTTGATGTATGGTGACAACCAAGTCACTGACCCACATTGTTGATGTATTGTGACAACCAAGTCACTGAATGTATGGTGACGACCAAGTCACTGACCCACATTGATGTATTGTGAAGTCACTGACCCACATTGTTGATGTATTGATGTATGGTGACAACCAAGTCACTGACCAACACTGACCCACATTGTTGATGTATGGTGACGACCAAGTCACTGACCCACATTGTTGATGTATTGTGACAACCAAGTCACTGACTCACATTGTTGATGTATGGTGACGACCAAGTCACTGACCCACATTGTTGATGTATGGTGACGACCAAGTCACTGACCCACATTGTTGATGTATGGTGACGACCAAGTCACCCACATTGACCCACATGACCCACATTGTTGATGTATGGTGAGGACCTAGTCACTGACCCACATTGTTGATGTATGGTGACGACCAAGTCACTGACCCACATTGTTGATGTATGGTGACGACCAAGTCACTGACCCACATTGTTGATGTATGGTGACGACCAAGTCACTGACCCACATTGTTGATGTATGGTGACGACCAAGTCACTGACCCACATTGTTGATGTATGGTGACGACCAAGTCACTGACCCACATTGTTGATGTATGGTGACTGACCCACATTGTTGATGTATGGTGACGACCAAGTCACTGACCCACATTGTTGATGTATGGTGACGACCAAGTCACTGACCCACATTGTTGATGTATGGTGACAACCAAGTCACTGACTCACATTGTTGATGTATGGTGACGACCAAGTCAATGGCCAACCCTTACAACATTACAACAAAAAGACAAAGTCATCAATATGTCTTTAGGTTCTTGAATACCCACAAAGTAGGAGGAGAGTATCGAAAGGTTTTAAAGTTCTGCTCCAGAAAGGAGCACTACCATTACTTTCAGTCGAAGTCAAAGTTGTTGCCATGGAAACTTAAAAAAATATTTTATTCAGAAATCCAAAACTACCAAAAGGTACCAGTTCACCACCAGACCTATCAATATGCCAAGTTCGATGAAGAAATATTAAACGTTTTTTATGTTCTGCTCTGGAAAAGACGAATTTGCCAGATGGATAGAGTCCAAAATAATACCTCACTGCAATACGCGTTGTGGGGGATAAAAAGGGTAAGCTTACTGGGAAGCTATTATATACCGAAATCCGCACACAGGGTGACGAGGTTAATGAAACAGATGCTGCTGAATCTGTTTAAGGATGTATAACTCTGGAGCAAGATATCAGTATTGAATCTGGTGGAAATCTGGTTTAGAACAGGTCACCATCAACTTATTCTTATGCATTTGTATCAATAGACCAGCCACATGTCCATCTGCTGTCCACTTCCAGTCAAAAGAAATGATGACCACACAACAGACTTAATGACCACACAGCTCTCGGTGCAACTTTATTTCCCTACATAGAATATCACAGTCACACCTAACAACACACACAGCTTCCACAAGGGCTGTATGGCTATCTGCTGACCCCTTCCACAGTAGCGAGTGCAGAAAGGCTTATGGCTATCTGCTGAACTCTTCCACAGTAGCGAGTGCAGAAAGGCTTATGGCTATCTGCTGAACTCTTCCACAGTAGTGAGTGCAGAAAGGCTTATGGCTATCTGCTGACCCCTTCCACAGTAGCGAGTGCAGAAAGGCTTATGGCTATCTGCTGAACTCTTCCACAGTAGTGAGTGCAGAAAGGCTTATGGCTATCTGCTGACCCCTTCCACAGGAGCGAGTGCAGAAAGGCTTATGGCTATCTGCTGAACTCTTCCACAGTAGTGAGTGCAGAAAGGCTTATGGCTATCTGCTGAACTCTTCCACAGTAGTGAGTGCAGAAAGGCTTATGGCTATCTGCTGAACTCTTCCACAGTAGTGAGTGCAGAAAGGCTTATGGCTATCTGCTGAACTCTTCCACAGTAGTGAGTGCAGAAAGGCTTATGGCTATCTGCTGACCCCTTCCACAGGAGCGAGTGCAGAAAGGCTTATGGCTATCTGCTGAACTCTTCCACAGTAGTGAGTGCAGAAAGGCTTATGGCTATCTGCTGAACTCTTCCACAGTAGTGAGTGAAAGGCTTCTATGGCTAGAAAGTGCTTATGGCTATCTGCTGAACTCTTCCACAGGAGTGAGTGCAGAAAGGCTTATGGCTATCTGCTGAACTCTTCCACAGTAGTGAGTGCAGAAAGGCTTATGGCTATCTGCTGAACTCTTCCACAGTAGTGAGTGCAGAAAGGCTTATGGCTATCTGCTGACCCCTTTCAGCGATGACCACACAGACAACACACATCATATATACACATGGTAGAATACAACTGTCTTCATCACATAGACTATCACAGTCATAAATCCTTACATAAATACTTCACACAACTACACACTTCTTGTGATGACATCTTTCAAGAACACCTCCTGCAAGAACAACTCTCATAGTGGCCTTCTGTGGTGACATCTTACCATCATGACACATGTCATTGTAATGAACGATGGTGTTGATAGTACCTGCATCCAAAAGAACCTGAAAAGAACTCCAGTGCCCAATTTCAAAGGTAAATCTTGAGAGTTACCTCCTCTGGTCAGAAACACAATTCCTTGACCCTGGACTTCTACTGATACACACTACCCATGGTGGGGTCTTTGAACAATTGTCCAAGTAATGGCCTTTGTTATAACCGAAGCTGTAATGATGTATATTGAAATGTTTCCTCAACAAGGATTCCTTTTGTGCTGTCAGTTGGGGTCTGCTTTCTTCTTGATCACAGGTCAGGACAAAGGTGCTCGTTGCAGCGGAATCACTTCTGCAAACCCTAAAGAACATCATTTTGGCATCCCTAAAGCTGATCTCAAACATGCGACTCGGTGCAGGTCATCATTTTGGCATCCCTAATGCTAATCTCACATGAGACTCGGTGCAGGTCATCATTTTGGCATCCCTAAAGCTGATCTCACACATAAGACTCGGTGCAGGTCATCATTTTGGCATCCCTAATGCTGATCTCACACGTGAGTCTCGGTGCAGGTCATCATTTTGGCATCCCTAAAGCTGATCTCACACGTGAGTCTCGGTGCAGGTCATCATTTTGGCATCCCTAAAGCTGATCTCACACGTGAGTCTCGGAGCAGGAGGAACTGGGCAAAGGTGAAGAGGCTGGAACAGGCCCAGTAGAAACACATACTCTGCAAGATAACAGAAGAATCAGAGTTCCACATGTCCAGATTCCCTGTGAAAGGACAAAGGAAAGACCCAAACTATACTTTGCGAAAAGGAACCCTTAGTGCAAAACAGTGGGTTACAACAACCACCCTGCTACCCCACAAACACAACATCTAGCTTCCTTACTAGGACCATACCATGCAACCCTGCTTGCCCCGCACTCCAGCTACCTAGACAACCCTCCCCCAACTCTCCCCCAAATCTACCCAGCTCACACTCCATACCATATTCTGCAAGCACTCAATGCAGCGGTCCTTTTAGGACCTTGCCAAGCTAGATATCTTTCTTCCTACCTTTCTAGATCCCAACAAGCTACAATACTAGCCCCCACTCAGTGACTCTGCTATCCCCCACCCAGTGACTGTCCTATTCTCCAATCTACTGATTCCCCCCAACTCATTGACCCTACTAGCTGCCCACCCATTGGCCCTGCTTGCCTACCCCACCCATTGATCTTTCTAGCCCCTCCTGTAGACCCTGCTAGCCCACCCCACCCACTGACCTTGTTAGCCCCACCTAATGACCCTACTAGTAGAGTGCCCCACCCACTGACCCTGCTAGTCTGCCCCATCCATTGCTCCTGCCAGTGGCGCCACCCCCACCCTCCAACCCACTGACCTGCCCCACCCATTGACCCTGCAAACTCCCCACCCATTGCCCTGGCTCACCCATTGACCCTGCTAGCTACTATTGCCTTTGCTAGCCCCTACCATTGACCCTGCTAGCCCCCATCCATTGACCCTGCCAGCCCCCACCCATTGACCCTGCTTCTCCCCCATTGACCCTGCTAGTCTGCTCCCCTGTTGGCTAGCTCCCTCACCCATTGACCCCACTGCTTAGCTCCCCACCCATTGACCCTGTGTTAGTCTGCTCCCACCCATTGACCCTGCTTAGTCCCCACCCATGCCCTAGCTCAACTCTCCAATTGACCCTGCTAGCTCCCCACCCATTGACTGAACCTGCTGGCCCCCACCCACCCTCCTTGACCCTGCTAGCCCCCACCCATTGACCTCATTGACCCCATTGAGCTATCCCCCACCCATTGACCCTGACACCCATGCTAGCTAGCCCCAACCATTGACCCTGCTAGTCTGCCCCACCATTGACCCTACTAGCCTCCTACCCATTGACCCTGCTAGCTCCCAACCTGACCCTGCTATCTCCTACCCATTGACCCCTAGCACTCATTGACCTGCTAGCCCCAACCCATTGACCATGCTAGCCCCCACCCATTGACCATGCTAGCCTCCACCCATTGGACCCATTGACCCTGCTAGCCCCCACTCCATTGACCCTGCTGCACCCCACCCATTGACCCTGCTTAGCCTCTACCCCATTGACCCTGCTAGCTAGCCCCATTGGACTCATTGACCCTGCTAGCTCCTGCCACCCATTGACCCTGCTAAGCCCCACCCATTGACCCTGCTAGCCCCCACCCATTGACCCTGCTAGTCTGCTTCACCCATTGACCCTGCCCCACCCATTGACCCTGCTAGCTCCCCACCCACTGACCCTGCTAGCCCCCACCCATTGACCCTGCTTGCTCCCACCCCATTGACCCCTGCCAGGCCCCACCCATTGACCCTGCTAGCCCCAACCCATTGACCCTGCTGCTTGCCCCTGCTAACCCCACTGACCCTGCTAGCTCCCACACCCATTGACCCTGCTTGCTCCCCACCCCATTGACCCTGCTAGCCCCCCACCCATTGACCTGCCTGCTTGACCCTGCTGGCCCCACTGACCCTGCTGGCCCCCCCCATTGACCCTGTTAGCTCCTCCACCATTGACCCTGCTTGCCTGCACCCCATTGACCCTGCTAGGCCCCCACCCATTGACCCTGCTGGCTCCCCACCCATTGACCCTGCTGGCCCCTCACCCACTGACCCTGCTTAGTCCCCACCCATTGACCCTGTTGGCTCCCACTCACTGACCCTGCTGGCTCCCCACTATTGACCCTGCTTGCCCCACCCATTGACCCTGCTAGCCCCCACCCATTGACCCCTGTTGCTCCCCACCCATTGACCTGTTGGCTCCCCCACTCATTGACCCTCTCTGCCCAACCCATTGACCCTGCTGCCAGCCACACCCTGACCCTGTTGCCCCCACCCATTGACCCTGTTGGCTCCCAACCCATTGACCCTGTTGGTTCCCCCATCCATTGACCCTGACAGTGCTAATTGGACCCACCTGGCTCCAACCCATTGACCCTGCTGGCCCCCACCCATTGACCCTGCTGGCTCCCCACCCACCCCTGTGACCCTGCTGGTCTGCCCACCCATTGACCCTGCCAGCCCCCACCCATTGACCCTGCTGGCCCCCACCCATTGACCTCTGCTAGCCTCCACCCATTGACCCTGCTAACCCCCACCCATTGACCCTGCTAACCCTCACCCATTGACCCTGCTAGACTCCACCCATTGACCCTGCTAGACTCCACCCATTGACCCTGCTAGACCCCACCCAGTTTCTCTCTTAAGAACACAAAACCAGTGCCACCTACACACGGAACAATGGCTGCTATGGGAATCAGGATCACAGTTGTGCCACGCCATACGTTTTTGGCGACCTTTTGCAGTTTTGTTGGAGACTGTATCTTAAACTGCATCTGAAACAGAAACACAAAACCCCCTTCAACAAGAGCCGCTGTAACAGCATCTAATAATTCCATTTTTTTAATAGCACTGTGGTGATGAAAACTGGAAAATAATACAGGAACGCTTGATCTTTCATGTGATCCTTTATTTGTTTCTCACAGTATTTGATGGAATGTCTCACCTCTAACATGTTGAGATGAAATGTCTCACCTCTAGCATGTGATCGAATGTCTCACCTCTAGCATAATGAGATGGAATGCATCACCTCTACTGGCAAACAAGGATAAGTTGGGCCAGCACAGAGAACGCGTTTACAAGAAGTAGGTGGTGCATGGCAATGAGCAAACCCATTTGGTTTGTGAAAGGTAGAACACATGTAGGTTAGTGCACGTGCATTGCATTACGATGAAATTGATTCCGTGCGTAGCTGCACACACCTTGCTCATAAGACTCTCAAGGTACGGTGTAGCAAGTCAATGCGACTCTAACATGATGAGACTGATGCCATGTGGCTCACCTCTAGCATGTTATCCTTGAGATGGAATGTGCCACCTCTAGCATAATGAGATGGAATGTCTCACCTCTAGCATGATGAGATGGAATGTCTCACCTCTAGCATGATGAGATGGAATGTCTCACCTCTAGTATGTTGAGATGGAATGTCTCACCTCTAGCATAATGAGATGGAATGTCTCACCTCTAGCATGATGAGATGGAATGTCTCACCTCTAGCATGATGAGATGAAATGTCTCACCTCTAGCATGATGAGATGGAATGTCTCACCTCTAGCATGATGAGATGGAATGTCTCACCTCTAGCATGATGAGATGGAATGTCTCACCTCTAGCATGATGAGATGGAATGTCTCACCTCTAGCATGATGAGATGGAATGTCTCACCTCTAGCATGATGAGATGGAATGTCTCACCTCTAGCATGATGAGATGGAATGTCTCACCTCTAGCATGATGAGATGGAATGTCTCACCTCTAGCATGATGAGATGGAATGTCTCACCTCTAGCATGTTGAGATGGAATGTCTCACCTCTAGCATGTTGAGATGGAATGTCTCACCTCTAGCATGATGAGATGGAATGTCTCACCTCTAGCATGTTGAGATGAAATGTCTCACCTCTAGCATGTTGAGATGGAATGTCTCACCTCTAGCATGTTGAGATGAAATGTCTCACCTCTAGCATGATGAGATGAAATGTCTCACCTCTAGCATGTTGAGATGGAATGTCTCACCTCTAGCATGTTGAGATGGAATGTCTCACCTCTAGCATGTTGAGATGGAATGTCTCACCTCTAGCATGTTGAGATGGAATGTCTCACCTCTAGCATGATGAGATGGAATGTCTCACCTCTAGCATGTTGAGATGGAATGTCTCACCTCTAGCATGTTGAGATGGAATGTCTCACCTCTAGCATGATGAGATGGAATGTCTCACATCTAGCATGTTGAGATGGAATGTCTCACCTCTAGCATGTTGAGATGGAATGTCTCACCTCTAGCATGTTGAGATGGAATGTCTCACCTCTAGCATGATGAGATGAAATGTCTCACCTCTAGCATGATGAGATGAAATGTCTCAGCTCTAGCATGATGAGATGGAATGTCTCACCTCTAGCATGTTGAGATGAAATGTCTCACCTCTAGCATGTTGAGATGAAATGTCTCACCTCTAGCATGATGAGATGAAATGTCTCACCTCTAGCATGTTGAGATGAAATGTTTCACCTCTAGCATGATGAGATGGAATGTCTCACCTCTAGTATGATGAGATGGAATGTCTCACCTCTAGCATGTTGAGATGAAATGTCTCACCTCTAGCATGATGAGATGAAATGTCTCACCTCTAGCATGTTGAGATGGAATGTCTCACCTCTAGCATGATGAGATGGAATGTCTCACCTCTAGCATGATGAGATGGAATGTCTCACCTCTAGCATGATGAGATGGAATGTCTCACCTCTAGCATAATGAGATGGAATGTCTCACCTCTAGCATGAGATGGAATGTCTCACCTCTAGCATGTTGAGATGGAATGTGTCACCTCTAGCATGATGAGATGGAATGTCTCACCTCTAGCATAATGAGATGGAATGTCTCACCTCTAGCATGAGATGGAATGTCTCACCTCTAGCATGATGAGATGAAATGTCTCACCTCTAGCATGATGAGATGAAATGTCTCACCTCTAGCATGATGTGATGGAATGTCTCACCTCTAGCATGAGATGGAATGTCTCACCTCTAGCATGATAAGATGAAATGGTTCACCTCTAGCATGATGAGATGAAATGTCTCACCTCTAGCATGATGAGATGAAATGTCTCACCTCTAGCATGTTGAGATGAAATGTCTCACATCTAGCATGATGAGATGGAATGTCTCACCTCTAGCATGATGAGATGAAATGTCTCACCTCTAGCATGATGAGATGAAATGTCTCACCTCTAGCATGTTGAGATGGAATGTCTCACCTCTAGCATAATGAGATGGAATGTCTCACCTCTAGCATAATGAGATGGAATGTCTCACCTCTAGCATGAGATGGAATGTCTCACCTCTAGCATGATGAGATGGAATGTGTCACCTCTAGCATGATGAGATGGAATGTCTCACCTCTAGCATAATGAGATGGAATGTCTCACCTCTAGCATGAGATGGAATGTCTCACCTCTAGCATGTTGAGATGGAATGTGTCACCTCTAGCATGATGAGATGGAATGTCTCACCTCTAGCATAATGAGATGGAATGTCTCACCTCTAGCATGAGATGGAATGTCTCACCTCTAGCATGATGAGATGAAATGTCTCACCTCTAGCATGATGAGATGAAATGTCTCACCTCTAGCATGATGTGATGGAATGTCTCACCTCTAGCATGAGATGGAATGTCTCACATCTAGCATGATGAGATGAAATGGTTCACCTCTAGCATGATGAGATGAAATGTCTCACCTCTAGCATGATGAGATGAAATGTCTCACATCTAGCATGATGAGATGAAATGTCTCACCTCTAGCATGATGTGATGGAATGTCTCACCTCTAGCATGAGATGGAATGTCTCACCTCTAGCATGATGAGATGAAATGGTTCACCTCTAGCATGATGAGATGAAATGTCTCACCTCTAGCATGATGAGATGAAATGTCTCACCTCTAGCATGTTGAGATGGAATGTCTCACCTCTAGCATGATGAGATGGAATGTCTCACCTCTAGCATGATGAGATGAAATGTCTCACCTCTAGCATGATGAGATGAAATGTCTCACCTCTAGCATGATGAGATGGAATGTCTCACCTCTAGCATGATGAGATGGAATGTCTCACCTCTAGCATGATGAGATGAAATGTCTCACCTCTAGCATGATGAGATGAAATGTCTCACCTCTAGCATGATGAGATGAAATGTCTCACCTCTAGCATGATCAGATGAAATGTCTCACATCTAGCATGATGATATGGAATGTCTCACCTCTAGCATGATGAGATGGAATATCTCACCTCTAGCATGATGAGATGAAATGTCTCACCTCTAGCATGATGAGATGAAATGTCTCACCTCTAGCATGATGAGATGGAATATCTCACCTCTAGCATGATGAGATGAAATGTCTCACCTCTAGCATGTTGAGATGGAATATCTCACCTCTAGCATGATGAGATGAAATGTCTCACCTCTAGCATGATGAGATGGAATGTCTCACCTCTAGCATGATGAGATGGAATGTCTCACCTCTAGCATGAGATGGAATGTCTCACCTCTAGCATGATGAGATGAAATGTCTCAGCTCTAGCATGATGAGATGGAATGTCTCACCTCTAGCATGTTGAGATGAAATGTCTCACCTCTAGCATGTTGAGATGAAATGTCTCACCTCTAGCATGATGAGATGAAATGTCTCACCTCTAGCATGTTGAGATGAAATGTTTCACCTCTAGCATGATGAGATGGAATGTCTCACCTCTAGTATGATGAGATGGAATGTCTCACCTCTAGCATGTTGAGATGAAATGTCTCACCTCTAGCATGATGAGATGAAATGTCTCACCTCTAGCATGTTGAGATGGAATGTCTCACCCCTAGCATGATGAGATGGAATGTCTCACCTCTAGCATGATGAGATGGAATGTCTCACCTCTAGCATGATGAGATGGAATGTCTCACCTCTAGCATAATGAGATGGAATGTCTCACCTCTAGCATGAGATGGAATGTCTCACCTCTAGCATGTTGAGATGGAATGTGTCACCTCTAGCATGATGAGATGGAATGTCTCACCTCAGCATAATGAGATGGAATGTCTCACCTCTAGCATGAGATGGAATGTCTCACCTCTAGCATGATGAGATGAAATGTCTCACCTCTAGCATGATGAGATGAAATGTCTCACCTCTAGCATGATGTGATGGAATGTCTCACCTCTAGCATGAGATGGAATGTCTCACCTCTAGCATGATGAGATGAAATGGTTCACCTCTAGCATGATGAGATGAAATGTCTCACCTCTAGCATGATGAGATGAAATGTCTCACCTCTAGCATGTTGAGATGAAATGTCTCACATCTAGCATGATGAGATGGAATGTCTCACCTCTAGCATGATGAGATGAAATGTCTCACCCCTAGCATGATGAGATGAAATGTCTCACCTCTAGCATGTTGAGATGGAATGTCTCACCTCTAGCATAATGAGATGGAATGTCTCACCCCAGCATAATGAGATGGAATGTCTCACCTCTAGCATGAGATGGAATGTCTCACCTCTAGCATGATGAGATGGAATGTGTCACCTCTAGCATGATGAGATGGAATGTCTCACCTCTAGCATAATGAGATGGAATGTCTCACCTCTAGCATGAGATGGAATGTCTCACCTCTAGCATGTTGAGATGGAATGTGTCACCTCTAGCATGATGAGATGGAATGTCTCACCTCTAGCATAATGAGATGGAATGTCTCACCTCTAGCATGAGATGGAATGTCTCACCTCTAGCATGA